GGAGAAGGAGGAGGAGTAGGAGGAGGAAGCTCGAACAGTTGCGACATCAGCAACTTTGGCCTCTGGGGCCCTGCTGGCGGCTCTCTGGGCGCCGTCTGGGGCCGCCGCGGAGGCCTGTCGGGCCGTCGTGGAGCTCTCTCGGCCCATGTCGGCGGCCTTGGTGGGCGACCTTTGCCGTTTGAGAAGCCATCTTGGGTATCCTCGTCGCCCTGGAGAGCGCCAGGGACGTGTCTGGGCGCCGGCAGGGCCTCAGAGAGGGGGGGCGGTGCGCGTACGTCGACTACACGTAAGAGTGACCCTTCGCCGGAGTGACCGTTGGTGCGGGCCCATTGGGGTCCCCGATCGCCGAACGCGAGGCGGCAGTGGTGTCTTGCGCGCTCGCTTTTGGCCCCCCCGCGGCCCCCCAAAAGCCGCGCACCAAAGGTCACTCTTACCCAGGGTCACTCTTACGTGTAGCCGAGTATGGCGGATGCGACGAGCGGGGGGGAGGTCATTTTGAAGATTTCGGAAACCCTGCCAGGCAGCACTTGCCATTCCACCACGCCTGAACGTGCCAGGGGGCACGGTGGCGGTGTCACACGCTAGTATCTATGTATATAAGAATGCACGTACACAAATCCTTGCATACGTGTATGAAGTATGTTTGCATGCATGCATGTAGGTACGCATGCATGTATGTGTTGATGCACGTATGTGTGTAGGTATGTGTTTATGTCTGTCTGTCTGCATGTACATGTATATATATATATATGCACAAGCGTGTCTGATGTATGCACGCATACATGCATGATATTATGCACGGGTGTATGTAGATGCATGCATGCATGTATGCATGTATGTATGCATTCATATATGTATGTACGCATATGTGAACTTCTACATGCATACATGCTTGCACGTATGTACGTGTGTATGTATGCGTGTGTGCATGCATACATACATGCATGCACACACATACAAATAGGTGCATGCATGTTTGTGTGCATGCATGCATGCATGCATGCATGCATGCATGCAGCTAGGTGTGCATATATGTATGCATGTATGTATGTATGTATGCACCGCATGTATATATGTATGTGTGTAGGTAGGTGTGTGCGTAGGTCTGTATGCATATGTCTACGCATATGTATAAATCTATATATATGTATACATCTACATATGGATACACATGCATGCATGAATGTATGTGCGTATGCATGTATGACTGTATGCATGGATGCATGTATGTATGTATGAATGTACGCCTGCCTGTATGTATGCATGCGTGCATGTATGCATGTATGGATGTGGGCAGGTAGGTTGATAGTTAGGTAGGTAGGTCGGCATCTAGGTATGTACGTATGTGTGTATGTGTACATGTATGTATATATGTATGCAGGTATCTGTGTGCGTGAATGATGTATGTACGTACGTCCGTCCGTACGTACGTACGTACGTATGTATGTATGTATGCATTTGAGTATGCGTGCATCTCCCGCCCTCTCTTACTTTCCCCCTCTCCCTTCACCTCTCCCTTCCTCCTATTCTTTTTTCCCGGAAAGGGCGTGGGCCCAGGGTTCTCTTTTAGTTGGTTAACCCCCCGGCCCCCCTGCAACTTGGGCCGGCGAAATTATTTTGCGAGCGGGCACGCACGGAGTAGGGCCGGCGAAATTATTTTTGAGGATGTCTCGAGCGAAACGCTTGTTTTTCAGAATTTGTTGAGGATGTCTCGAGCGAAACGCTGGTTTTGCAGAGTTGGGGATGTCTCGAGCGAAACGCTTGGTTTCAGAATTTGTTGAGGATGTCTCGAGCGAAACGCTGGTTTTGCAGAGCCGACCGCGACACGGAAAAGCGCTCCTCGCGCAGGAATTCCGAGGATGTCTCGCGCGTGCCGCGTCCCGCACGCAGGAATTTTGATTTCTTTGGGTTTTGACAGGATTTCTCAAGCGAAACGCTTGTTTTTCATAATTTGTTGAGGATGTCTCGAGCGAAACGCTGGTTTTGCAAAATTGGGGGATGTCTCGAGCGGGGGCCTCGTGGGGGGCCAGAATTCAGAGGATATCTCAGGCGCAATGCTTGTTTTCGTGTCCCGCTCGCAGGAATTCCGAGGATGTCTCGCGCGTGCCGCGTCCCGCGCGTAGGAATTCGGATGATTGTGATAGGATGTCTCGAGCGAAACGCTTGTCCCCAGCACGTTCAGTAGCGCGTCCCCTTGGCACGTCCCGCGTTGCGACCCCATGGCACGTCCCCTGGCACGTCGCCTGGCGCATCCCTTGGGACGTTTCGCGGCGCGTCCTCCTGGCATGTTCCCCTTGTCAATTAGCTCTGGGGCAGCTACTATGTGTTCAGGCAGCTCGAGCTTAAGATCCAGATCAGTTCGGTCAGGACTCGGATGCAAAGGAGGACTCGATCCACGACGCTATAGAGCACAACCGCGGCATGGCACATCGCAATTCAGCACGGTGCAGCACAGCACAGCCCTCGGCAGGGTACATCAAGATCGATACACTCAGCATTGCAACTTGGCACGTTCCTTGGCACGTTCCGTGGGGCGTCCCTTGGCGAGTCCCCCTGGCACGTCGCGTGGCGCGTCCCCTGGCACATTCCGTGGCACATCCATTGGCACGTTCCGTAGCGCGTCCCTTTGGCACGTCCTACGGTGCGACCCCATGGCGCGTCCCCTGGCACGTCGCCTGGCGCATCCCTTGGGACGTTTCGCGGCGCGTCCTCCTGGCATGTTCCCCTGTCCATTAGCTCTGGGGCAGCTACTATGTGTTCAGGCAGCTCGAGCTTAAGATCCAGATCAGTTCGGTCAGGACTCGGATGCAAAGGAGGACTCGATCCACGACGCTATAGAGCGCAGTCGCGCCATGGCACATCGCAATTCAGCACGGCGCAGCACAGCACAGCCCTTGGCAGGGTACATCAAGATCGATACACTCAGCATTGCATTTGCCCGTCACCCAATCAGGTGTCTTTGAAAACGCTGCCATGTGTTACAGTTCTATATTCCTTTCCGGGTTCGTGGGTCGATCATGTTTTATTTTCTGTCCATCACGCTTTCTCACTCTCTCTCTCTCTCTTTCTTGCTCTCTCTCTCTCTCTCCCCCTCTTTCTACCCATCACCCTCTCTCTCTCTCTCCTTTTTCTCTCTCCCCTTCCCTCTCTCTCTCTCTCTCTTATTTTTTGTCCCCGGAAAGGGCGCCAGCCCAGGGTTCTCTTTTAGAGGCTTTACCTCAGGGGACGACTCGAGCCGGGCCGGCGAAATGATTTTTATTCTCCTCTGCGATAAATGACAAAGTCGAGACGGGCCGACGAATTTGAGGATGTCCCAAGCGAAACGCTTAAAACAAACAAATCCGATCGATTAAACAAAAGGTAAAGTAAGCATTTCCGTTTGTTGCGGATGTCTCAAACGAAACGCTTGTTTTGCATAATTCGTTGAGGATGTCTCGAGCGAAACGTTTGTTTTGTGTTATTGATCGTTCCTTTCCTGGGCACCAGACTTCAGAAGATGTCTCAGGTGAAATGCTTGTTTTCTTGTACGCAGGTCTTGAGGATGTCTCGAGCGAGACGATTCAAGGAGGTCTCGAGCGAAACGCTTGCTTTGCAGAACTCGAGCAGCCTGGGCGTTCCAAGATGCCCAGCTGGTTCTGGGCGCCCTAACAGCGCACAGCACTCTGTTAAGGAGCGTGGCCCTGGGAGCGCGGACGCAGCGCAATTCACGAGGGAGCGCGGCCCTGGAAGCGTGGACGCAGCGTATAGTTTGCGAGGGGCCGTGGCCCACAGGGCGAGCGGACGCAGCGCAGTGTACGAGGGATCGCGGCCCTGGGAGCTCGGGACGCACCAGAATTGACAGAGGTCGTGGCCTTTTGGGAGCGCGGACGCAGCACAATTTACAATAGATCGTGGCCCTGGGAGCGCGGACACAGCGTAGTTGACGAGGGAGCGTGGCCCGGGGGGGGGGCGGGCGCAATATAATTCACCGGGGAACGTGGCTGTGGGAGCGCGGACACGGCATAGTTCACGAGGGGGCGCGGCCCTGGGAGCGTGGATGCAGCGTAGTTTACGAGGGATCGTGGCCCAGGGAGAGCGGACGCAGCCTAATTTATAAGGGATCGTGGCCCTGGGAGCGCGGACGCAGTTTTATTTACAATAGATCGTGGCCCTGGATGCGCTGACGCAGCGTGATGTACTAGGGATCCTGGCCCTGGGGGGGGGCGGACGCAGCGTAATTTAGTAGGGAACGTAGCCCTGGGGGCGCGGACGCAGCATAATTCACAAAGGAGCGCGGCCCTGGGAGCGCCGACGCAGCGTATTTTACAATGCATCGTGGCCTTGGGAGTGCGGACGCAGCGTAATTTACGATGGATTCTGGCCCTGGGTCAGGGACGTCCCGTGGCACGTTCACTGACACGTTCCCTGGCACGTTCTCTGGTGCGTCGCCTGGCGCGTTCCCTGGCACGTCGCGCGGCGCGTCCCCTGGCACGTCCCGTGGCGCGTCCATTGGCACGTTCCGTAGCGCGTCCCCTTGGCACGCCTCACGGTGCGTCCCCATGGCACGTGCCTGGCACGTCCCTTGGCGCGTCCCTTGGGACGTTCCGCGGCGCGTCCTCCTGGCATGTTCCCCTTGTCAATTAGCTCTGGGGCAGCTACTATGTGTTCAGGCAGCTCGAGCTTAAGATCCAGATCAGTTCGGTCAGGACTCGGATGCAAAGGAGGACTCGATCCACAACAACGCTATGGAGCATAGTCGCGGCATGGCACATCGCAATTCAGCACGGCGCAGCACAGCACAGCCCTTGGCACGGTACATCAAGATCGATACACTCAGCATTGCATTTGCCCGTCGCCCAGTCAGGTGTCTTTGAACATTTCGCCATGCCTTACATTTCTATATTCCTTTCCGCGTTCGTGGGTCGATCATGTTCTCTCTCTCTCTCTCTCTATCTCTCTTATCCCCCCTTTCTCCCACTATTGCCCTTGTTCAGTGCCCTCCCGTTCTTGCGTCTGGCGAGGGGCGGGGCCGACATCAGCGACGACCTCTCGGTGGAAAAGCTCACGAAGAAGTACAGCTCCCAGATCGATGAGCTCCGGAACACCTGCAAGGCTCTCCTCCGCTCCTGCTCTCCCCCAGTTTCGCTTCCTTCCTCTTGCTCAGCCCTGCTTGTCCCTCCAACCTCCTGACTTCCTCCATGTGCTCCCTTGCTTGCGGCAGAGACGCGACGAGGGATGGGCTGCGCATTTTGGGGCCCCCTTGGCGTTCAATCGAGGGAGCCCCCAGGACAGAGAGCAGGACGGCGACGGCGACGGCGAGCGGCGACGGCGAGCTTTTTTTTCCCCGGGGGAGGGGGAGGAGGAGGAGGAGGAGGAGGAGGAGGAGGAGGAGGAGGAGGAGGAGGAGGAGGCCTTGGCCCATGGCTGGCCTTCGGCCTCCCAGCCGGGGTGACAAGAGGGTCCTCTCGGAAGGGTCTCGCCTGGAGGCTTTTTTTCGCTGGACCGTCGGACTCTCCCTCTCCATCCTCCTCCTCCTCCTCCTCTTCCTCCTCCTCCTCCTCCTCCTCCTCCTCCTCCTCCTCCTCCTCCTCCTCCTCCTCCTCCCCCCCCTCATCTTTCGGGGACCTCCATTTGCTCCCTCCTCCTTCCTTGCTCCTCCTCAGCGAGCTGGCTGTTGCCTCGGCACAGCTTGTGTGGTTCCGCTGGCCCATGTTGCATCGCAGATGGCATGTAGGTATGCCAGGAGGCCTCTTGGGGGCCTCCTGGAGGGCTCTCGGGTGCCAGTCTTGGGGGCTTCCAGGGGGCCTTGATGGAAGCACCTTGGGAGCTTCTTGGGGCCTCGCAGGGAGCCTCTCTGAGGGCCTCGTTGGTGCCTCTCTGGGCCTCACGGGGGCCTCTTGGGAGCCTCTTCGGGCCCTCTCGGGGCTTCTGGAGGGTCTTGTAGGGGGCCTGCTGGCCGGCCGCGCGGGGGCGCGAGGCCGTTCCGTGGCCCGGAGGCGGGATCCGCCCCCTGGGCTGTGCAGCGGGGGAGAAGAAACAGCCCCCGTCTGGGGGGGGGGGGGTCGCCCCAGGGCAGGGGGCTAGAAAGGTCGGGTCGTGGTCCCCCTCTTGGACGCGCCCTTCGGGGCCCTCTTCGGGCCGTCCTTGGGAGCCTCTGGGTGCCTGCCGAGAGGGGCCCCTCTCGGGCCGTCTTGAAGGGCGGGGGCCTCTCGGGCCGCCTTGCCTTGGGGCGGGCTTGAGGGCCTCAATGGGCCGTCTTGGCGCGCGGGGAACCCCGAAAAAGCGGAAGCGATGAAATCCTCCCCCGCCCCTCAGGAAGATCAATGCTGTGTGCCTCTCTGGGCCCGTTTGGGAGTCCTCTCAGGGGCCCTCCTGGGGCGCTCTTGGGGCGTCTTGGAGGCCTCGGGGAGCGTCGAGAGTCCACCAGGGACGTCTTGAGGCGTCCAGGGGCCGCGGCGGGCCCTCTCCGAGCGTTCCTGCAGGCCCCCGGGGGAGCATTCCCTGGGGTGGGGCATGCTTTGTCGGAAGACTCCCAGGAGGAGGGGGGGGAGGAGGGGGAGTAAGAGGAGGGGGAGGAGGGGGAGGAGGAGGAGGAGGAGGAGGAGGAGGAGGAGGAGGAGGAGGAGGAGGAGGAGGACCCCTCTCCGGAGATTATATAACAGCACGCCTTCGGCGCGCTGGGCCGGCGAATTTTGGGACAACTGGGCCCCCTACACCAACTGGGCGAGTTAGAGAGTTCGAGGATGATTTCGTCGACTTGTCGTGACTTCGCAGTAGCTTGCCTGCAGACTTCGCTCCTCAGGGGGGCGTGTTGCATGCCGCATGCCATATCTTCCAACGCCGTCAGAGTCTGAAATGAGCGCCGGTTTGAGCTCAGAAAGGGGCTCTGTTTGGGGGCCATTCCCTGGATCGGTGTCGTGGAACCCATCCGCGGCCGAGGCTCGCCGTGGCCAGAGCCGTCCCTCGTTCGGCGTTCCGCGTGGCGGCACGCTGGTGGTATGCGTGGATCGTCACTCCTCTTCCGTCTCCCCCCCCTTGGCCAGGACGTCCTCGACGACCAGGACGACCTGTACCTCTTGTTCTTCCTGCTGGAGAGCAAGGGGGACGTCCCCGCTGCCGCCGAGAACGTCCGCGAGGTCGCAGGGCGCGAGGGGGGGGGGGGGGCTGCGCGGCGGGAGCGGGGGCAAGTCGGCAGAAGGAGGAGGGAGGAGGAGGAGGAGGAGGAGGAGGAGGAGGAGGAGGAGGAGGAGGAGGAGGAGGAGGAGGAGGAGGGGGGAGGTGGAGGAGAGGAAGAGAGGAGGAGGAGTAGGAGGGGAGTAGGAGGAGGAGAGGCGAATGATGAGGATGAGGATGAGAGGAGGATGAGGATGATGAGGATGAGGATGATGATGCTGATGCTGATGCTGATGCTGATGCTGATGCTGATGCTGATGCTGATGCTGATGATGATGATGATGATGATGATGATGATGATGATGATGATGTGATGATGATGATGATGATGCTGATGCTGATGATGATGATGATGATGCTGATGATGGTGATGATGATGGTGATGATGATGAGGACGCTGATTAGTATTATCATTATGATGGTGATTATGATCATGCTGATGATGATGATGATGATGATGCTGATGCTGATGATGATGATGATGCTGATGATGATGATGATGATGATGATGCTGATGAATGATGATGATGATGATGATGATGATGATGATGATGATGATGATGATGATGATGATGATGATGATGATGATGATGACGATGACGATGATGATGATGATGATGATGATGATGCTGCTGATGATGATGATGATGATGATGATGAGGAGGAGGAGGATGAGGAGGAGGAGGAGGAGGAGGAAGCGGAGAAGGAGGAAGCGGTGGAGGAGGAGGAGGAGGAGGAGGAGGAGGAGAACCATCACAGGCCATGAGGTCGACCCGACCCTTAATCAAAACCTTCTGCTGCATCCGATCATCCGCTGACGCTCGCTTCGGCCTGCCTTTGCGGCCGTTCCTTGAGGAGCTGAGCAGCAGGAATTGGCTGGGACAGTCGGGGGACGGCCTTCAAGCTACTTTTGGGATGTCGGCCGCCCGACACAAGGGCCCAAACACTCTGGGAGCACCTGCTGCGGAAGCTCCCATTACATTCCATGCACCTCGGAGACCCTTCAAGGTACTCTCGGAGTAGTGGCCGCACTTCTTGCACACCACAAGGAAGGACTCAACACCAAGGTAGTCGCACACACACACACATGTGTCGTGCTTCTTGGGCGCTGCAATTCTGGTAGAGGGGCACCAGATTTGCCTGGGCATGCCTCGAGTACGCGGGGTTTGTGGATGCTGTCAGGCCTGGCTCCCGTGTGGCAGGCCAAGCACAGCCAATGCATGTTTGGCCAAGGCCACTGGTTCATTGCCCCTCCCGTTGGGTTGCGGCACGCACGACCGCGCCGAGGCAGACCCACGCGTTTGGGATGTGGCGCAGTCCCGATTTGGACCGCTCCTGCAGCACCGACAGGGGGAGTTAGGCAGGAGGAGGCGGAGCAGGCGGAGGAGGAGGAGGAGAAGGAGGATGAGGAGGCGGAGGCACTCGCGCTTGCGAAGGGGCACGAGGCCTGGAAAATAAGAGAACCCACTGACGACGGCGGCGACGACGACGACAATCCACGACGGCGACGACCGTGACGACGACGACGACGACGACGACGACGACAACGACGACGACGACGACGACGACGACGACGACGACGACGACGACGACGGATGAACGAACGCAGCACCGCGAACGACGACAACGCCGACGACATGACGGTGGTGGCGGCAGCCGCCCCGTCCGCTCGGGGGCGGCAGCCGCCCCGCTCGTCTGGCGCTCGCACGAGCTAGGCGAGCTCAGCAAACTGACCAAGACGACGCTCGGGTGGGATCTCAGGAGCTTTTCCAGCGGGGGTGAAGAGGAGGGATCAGAAATGAGGAAACCAAAGCCCTCTCAACGCGCCCTGGTCTGGACATGGTTTCCTTGCCTGCCCAGATCGAGTGCCTCCCAGCGGCTGTCTCGCCGCAAACCCTCACGACGCTCAGCCGTAGGTACGACCTGGTGCCTGCCGCGGGACCACATGCCGTCATCGGTGCAGCACAACGAGCTTGCTTCTCGACATCTTGGCGTTTTACTTCTCAGCACCGAGGGTCTTTCGACGATAGTCCTAGCTAGCATCCCCGCGCTGCCAGCCAGGCCAGGCGGCCGATTTTTGTAGCCAGAACAGCACTCGCGGCGAACTGTTGCCTGGCATTTCCAGACAGCGGGAGACGCTGTGATGGACTGCAGCAAGAAGATCATATGCTCAGCATAGCTCAGAATGGGCCGCGATTGTCTTTGCATGCGCGCCTTCTGACCCTACTGGGGAGGGCGCCGCAGTTGCGGCCAGGGGGCCGTGCGCAGCGTCTGGTTTGCTCTGCACGAGTGTCGCCACAGCATTCTCTTCGTGCTCTGAGGCAAGCCGCTCAGGCACAGCGCATCGCTTCTCGGTCAATGTAGACCCTTCCGTGCTTGTGTCCCGCATCATGAGCGTCATCGTGGACCCCGAGTTCTTTTGCAGCACGAATTGCGGCGTCGCTGGTTTGAACACCCTGCGCCGTCGACGACGACACCGTCAGAGAGGAGATCGTCGCTTTTGTCCTTCCCCGTCGGTTGACTTGGTGACGAACGGTTTCCTTGCTGTCATGCGTGCTCCACAGGGACCCGGAGCAGCAGAAGGTATGCAACAGCGTGAGGAGTGCCAGGTTGCGGTTGTGCCTTAGCCGCTTGCAGCCACTGTCGCTCAGTCCTCACAAATTGGTGGAACCGCAGTGGGATGCAATCTTCCGAAAAACACGACGACCAGGCTGTTTGCGTGAGCACCCTTGTTCGCATCGTGACTGGGATCAGGAGCCTTGGTACTGCCTTCAGTGAGGGTTCCAGGATATGGTATTGTTTGGTGGTGTGCGTAGCCGCAGCTCCCAATATTCCCTAATTGTGACGCGCGTTGCGTTTCAAGCCGTTCAGGCCGACGTTTGTTTCGAACGCATGTCTGCTCAGTGCAATTCCGTTATGGACATGTTTTCTAAATGCTCTAAATGCATTTGGGTCCTTGGGTGAAGGAGGTCCTGGGGAATCGGCAATCCTAAGGCAGCAACCAGATCATAGTGTCCCAAATTGTTCAAAGAGTTGTCGATGATTTGTCTGAGGGGGCAACTTGGAGCAGGCTAAGAGGAGTGAGCAGAAGGAGGAGACGAATGAGGTAGCGAAGGAGGAGGAAGCGAAAGAGGAGTGAGCAAATGAGGTGGAGGAGGAGGAGAACATGCAAGGACATGAACATGATGGACACGAACGAGGAACAGGACGAAGATGAGTTGGGCGGGGGAATATGTGCAGGAAAGAGGCATTCGGAGGATGCAGGGGGAAACGTTGATCACATGTTGATGTTGCATCATTGTCGGTCTTTGCTCTTTCCGCGCTCTACCGCTGTAACTTCGCCTCGAACCCTCATTGGCAACCCCAGGACCCGGGATGGTCCCAGGGTGCACGCCTTAGCCTCTAAACCTTTTCCCCCGCTACGCCTCCTGGGGTCCCCGATGGCCCACGAGGCACCCATTTTGCTTTCGGAACGCCCAAAACAGCCCACTGTGGCCCAATGACGACATAGAACGGGCCACGGAACGTTTGGCGGATGCTGTCAGGGACTCTAGCAGGGTCCCTTCAGGGCACGACTAGCACTCTTCCCGAACCCCTCCGAACCTTCGGTGGCACCCTTAAAGTATTCTTTCTGCGACGATCCTCCCAACCGTCGCACACCCAATCGAAACGATACAAGGATACGCAATGAAGCGGCGCCCATGGCCCTCTTCCGCGGTTTTGCATACAGCAGGCCATTCAAATTAGAAGCGACGGTGGCTTCATGCATCACGGAAGTTTTTCATTGTTCCGCGATGGCCTTGAGATTTCATTATTATCATGTAGGCGCCTCGCGAAGTGTCATATCGATGGGCAACCAAATCGTGTCCACAGCTCTCGGACAGCGGAAGTTCTTCACATGGCCCGGGCGGAGGGGCGGCTATATCGCTTGAGGTGCGCGTTCGAGTTAACTGGCCACTCGGCTAGCTGAAGCTATACGATTTGCCTCGCCTGGTGCCCCCCACCTCCACCCCCACCCCAGCTCCCACCCCCACCCCCACCCCAGCTCGGGAATGAGAGTAATCAGGAATGGGAGGAGGGGTGGAGAAGGAGGAGGATGAAGTGAACGACGAAGAGGAAAAGGAGAAGGCGGAGAAGGAGGAGAAGGAGGAGAAGGAGTCAGGTAGAGGAGGAGGAGGAGGAGGAGGAGGAGGAGGAGGAGAAGGAGGAAGAGGAGGAAGAGCGCGAGGGTGAGGAGGAGGAGAAGGAGGAGGAGGAGGAGAAGCAGGAGGAGGAGGAGGAGGAGGAACGGGAGCAGGAGGAGGAGGAGGAGGAGGACGAGGAGGACGAGGAGGAGGATGAGCGCGAGGGTGAGGAGCAGGAGGAGGAGGAGGAGGAGGAGGATGCGATGGATGGATGGGTGGACGGATGGATGAATTAACGATGTTGATAATGATGTTGATGCTGCTGATGATGCTGATGATGATGGTGGTGATGATGATGATGCTGATGATGACATTGATGATGATGTTGCTGATGCTGCTGCTCATGATGATGCTGATGACGATGATGATGATGCTTGTAATGATGACGCTGCTGCTGCTGCTGATGATGATGATGATGATGGCTATGACGATGACGATGATGATGATGATGATGATGATGCTGATGCTGATGCTGATGCTGATGCTGATGCTGATGATGAGTATGTTCATGATGATGATGATGCTGATGCTGATGATGCTGCTGCTGATGATGATGCTTATGATGATGTTGTTGATGATGATGAGGATGAGGATGATGATGCTGCTGCTGATGATGATGCTGATGAGGATGAGGATGAGGATGATGATGAGGATGAGGATGAGGATGAGGATGATGCTGCTGCTGATGATGCTGATGAGGATGAGGATGAGGATGAGGATGAGGATGATGATGAGGATGAGGATGATGATGATGATGATGATGATGATGATGATGATGACGATGACGATGATGATGATGATGATGATGATGATGATGATGATGATCATGATGATGAGGATGAGGATGATGATGAGGATGATGCTGCTGATGATGATGCTGATGAGGATGAGGATGAGGATGATGATGAGGAGAAGGAGGAGGAGGAAAACGAGGAGGAGGGGGAGGAGGAGGAGGAGGAGGAGGAGGAGGAGGAGGAGGTGGAGGAGGAGAAGTTGAAGGAGGAGGAGGAGGAGGAGGAGGAGATGGGGGAATATTGAGGATGAGCCAGGAGGAGAAGCAGGCCGAGGAGGAGAAGCGACAGGAGGAGGAGAATCCGAAGGCACGTGGAGTGCGAGGAGGAGTAGGAGGAGTGGGGAGACGAGTGCGAAGCTCACGGACGCTCAGGCGAGCTGGTATGGCTGCACCTCCCGCAGGCACACGACGTGGTTCGCCCGGGCGAGGCCTGGACGCACACATGCCCACACGTCTTTGCGGTGCTCGGCCCTCGTGCCGCGGGGCGCCATGGCCCCCTCCGCGTGTGCGGCCCGTGGATGCGGCCGCACGTTGCTCCAGCTTCCTCTCGCTGCCCCCCCCCGGCTGCTCAAAGTCGAACTCTTCGGCGCCTGAGCGACCCTTCTTCCTCTCGGCCGTCCCCCCTTCCCTCTTTGCTCTAGGCCTCCCAGATGGGGTCGGAGCAGGTGGGGTCGGAGGATCGCGCCGCATCGCTGATGCATCGGCGATGCATCGGCGATGCGGCTCGATGCGGGGCCCGATTTCCTTCGCGTCGATGTCGCCGATGCATCGCCGACGTCGACGATGCGTCGCCGTCGCATCACCGATGCATCGCCGATGCATCGCCGATGTATTGGTGATGTATCGGTGATGCGGCGCGATCCTCCAACCCCATCTACTCGGACCCCATCTAGGAGGCCTCTATTTGCTCGCCGGCCAATTCGTTAGTTAGTGTCCCTATCTGGCTCCTCGCTGAAGCGGAGTTCGCCGCCACGCCGCTGGCGAAACAAGTTCCAGCTTGCTTGTGTCTGAAATCGGCCAGAGACGCCCGACGGTGATGCGAAGCTGGCACGGTGCGCGCCTCACCGTCGCCTGCTCGTGGGAGCGTTCGTGTGAGTGGCTGGAAGGAGCAGACAGGAGAAGTAGAAGGTGGACAATGATGACGGGGAGGTTTAGGAGGACGAGGGGGACGAGATTGTCCGTGGACGAGAACGAAGAAGACGCGGAGGAGGAATACGAGCAAGCCGATGACGAGGAGCACGCGGAGGAGGTAGGGTGAGGAGGAAGGCGGAGAAGGGCTGATGGAAAGGTTGGTGATGCTGACGATGACGATGGTGATGACGGTGGTGGTGATGATGACGACGATGCTGATGATGTTGATGATGGTGATGGTGAATATGATGGTTGTGGTGCTGGTGATGGTGATGATTGCGGCGATGGTGTCGATGATGTTGCCGATGTTGATGCTGCTGGTGATGGTGGCGATGGTGGGCACGACGATGATGAGGAAAAGTGCTCGGATGATACCGATAGTGATGATGATGATGATGATGATGATGATGCTGATGCTGAGGATGATGATTCTGATGCTGATGCAGATTATGATGATTCTGATGATGAGGATGATGATGATGATGGCGATGGCGATGGTGATGATGATGTTGCTGATGATGATGATGCTGATGATGATGATGATGATGATGATGATGATGATGATGGCGGTGGAGGAACAGGGGAGGGAGGCGGAAGAGGATCATTGTGGTGAAGGTTGTGAACGAGCGACGCAGGAGGGAGCGCGAAGAGAGAAATGTGGCTGCACAGTGTAGCATTCGCGCCCTGCCACCGGTTCTTGTTGCCCGACCTCCCTCCGCAAAGGTCTTGGCCTGGCGCAAGGGAGAGGGCGCGGGCATTGTGGCCACAGCCGAGAAGGCGATCGCCGAGGCGCTTCAGGGGCCTCTGTTCTCCTCTCCCTGCCTACTCGCTCTGCCGTGCTACATCCGCCCCCGTTTGCTCCTCCATGCTGCCTTCGCCCTTCTCGATCCTTCCCCCCTGCCTCCTCGCTCCTCCGTGCCACATCCGCCTGCACGCTCCGCCTGGAGCTCTCTCTCTCCTCCTGTTCCCCGGTCCTGTTCCCACCTGTGCTCGCCTGTTCCCGCCTCCCCCCTCCCTCCTCTCCCTTTGTAGCTTGCCCGCCGTGTTTTGGCACATGCTTCACTCAGGAGGAAACTCCGCCCGGGTGTCGGGGCTTCGCCTGTCCGTCTCGGCGCTCCTCGCTCCGCCCCATGTTCCCCTTGTTCGTGCTGCTGCAGGGGAGGGAAGCGGCTCGCCTCGCAGCGTCCTGTCCCCCTCCCCTCTCCCGCCGGGTCCTGGCACCTCATCGAGCTCCCAAGACCCACCCTTCGAATCCCGTCTGCAGCCCCAGCTCCCCTCAGATCCCCTTCTCAACCATCAGAGGTATCTGCCTCCTCCTCCCCATCCCTCTCCCCGGCATCCGCCCCTGCATCCGTGTCCCCTGTCCCCTGGCCCCTGCATCCGTCCCTGCATCCGTCCCTCCTCCCTGTCCCCCTCCCCTGTCCCCTCCCCTCCCCTGTCTCCCTCCCCTGCGTCCTCCCCTCCCTGTCCCTCCCCTCCCCTGCATCCGTCCCTCTCTCCTCCCTGCCCCCTCCAGTCCGTCTCCGTCTTCGCCCCTCCCTCCCTCCCTCCCTCCTTCCCTCCCTCCCTCCCGCGGGGCTGCGGCACCACGTCTTGAAGCGGAGCGAGACGACAAGGAAGGGGGGCGAGGTAGGGAGGGTGGGTGGGTGGGAGGGAGTCAGGGGCAGGTAAACGGGATGATGAGGATGAGGATGATCATGATTCTGGTGATGATGATGCTGATGTTGCTGCTGATGACGATTATGACGCTGGTGCTGATGCTGATGCTGATGCTGCCTCGGATGCTGCTGATGATGAGGATGCAATGATGATGGTGATGGTGATGGTGGTGGTGATGGCGATGACGCCAGTGCTGTTGATGATGATGCTTATGATGATGATGCTGATGATACCAATCCTGATCATGAGGTTTATGCTGGTGGCGACGACGGTTATGATGATGATGCTTATGATGGTGATGCTGATGATGATGCTGACGACGACGGTACTGATGATGATGATGATGATGCCGAGCATGCTGATGCTAATGCTGATTATGGTGCTGATCATGATGCTGATGATGATGAGGATGAACATTTGGGATGATGAGAATGACTGTGCTGATGTTGATATTGGTGCTGCTGGTGATGTTGGCGAGGCTGATGAGAATGACGATGATGATGATGATGATGCTGATACGGCTGATGATGCTGATGCTGATGACGCCGATGATGTTGATACTGGTGGTGATGATGGTTATCATGATCATAATGAGGATCATGAGGATGTTGATGATGGTGGTGGTGATCGTGTTGATGAGGATGTTGATCATGCTGGTGATAAGCATCATCGCGAACAGTATGATCATGCTGATGCTGATGAGGGTGTTGATGCTGATGGTGGTGGTGGTGGTCATGATGATGCTGATGCCAATGGTGACGTGGCTGCTGCTGCTGATGATGATAGTGATGGTGTCGATGGTGATGATGGTGGTAGTCATAACGATCGTGATGGTGATGATGATGACGTCGGTGGATGTGATGGCAATGGTGTTGGTGATGATAATGGTGTTGACGATGATGGTGCTGGTGGTCGTGATACAGATGCTTGTGGTGGTGTTGTTGATGGCGGTGGTGGTGGTGATGCTGGTGGTGAAGATGCCGATGATGATGAGGAGGTGGGGGCTGCTTCAAAACGGGCGATATGGAGTGTCTGGGGGACGACTGCACACGACGGGACGTTTCCCATAATCAGTTCTAGCCCCAGAGGCCCCCCAGAGCCCCGTTAGGCCCCTTTACCGCCGCCCTCCTTCCCCTTGTCCTCCTGCTCTTCCTTCTTCCTGCCTGTCTCTCCTGACAGTGCATGGCGGGACGGCGCAGGATGATGATGCTGATGTTGTTGTTGATGGTGATGATGGCAATGCTGAGGCTTAGCGGTTTATGGCGATGATAGGGATGAGGACGAGGATGATAATGATGGTGATGACCACGAACTTGAGGGTGGTGTTGCTGGTGATGGTGCTGGTGGTGATCCTGATGATGATGGTGATGATGATAACGGATATGAGGATGAGGATGATGCTGATGATGAGGAGGAGGGGGAGAAGGAGGATCAGGTTGAGGCTGAGGATGAGGAGGATGACGACGCCGACAGCTACGACAACGGACGATGAGGCGGAGGAGGAGGAGAAAGCTGAGAACCGGGAGGAGGAGGAGGAGGAGGAGGAGGAGGAGGAGGAGGAGGAGGAGGAGGATGAGGAGGAGGAGGAGGAGGGACAGGTTGGCAGAGCGCGTGCGGTACAGGCGACCGCGGGCGGCGGATGGAACAACGAGCCCGTGTTTGCGGCGGCGCCGAACGCGGACAAGCTCAAGGTCTTCGGGGGCACACAGCCACATTCGGGCACACACAGAGTCACACACAGGCAGACACACAGACACAAGTGCACACCCACACATACACACACCTACACATGCACGCGCACACGGGCACACACACATATGCACACAAAAACATGAACATGACCATGAACAAGCACGAACTCGCACGCACGCACGCACACACGATTGCACGCACGCGCGCACGCACACACGCACGCACGCACGCACGCGCATACACATGCAAACACGAACACAAACACAAACACAAACACCCACACACACACACACACACGCACGCACGCACGCACGCACGCACGCAGGCACGCCTGCACACACACACACACCACACACACCACACTCACACACACACACACACCACATACACGCACCGCACGCACACACACATACACACACACACACACCACACACAGACACACACACACACACACACACATTGACTGCACGGGAAGCTCTATAGCCGCTGGGCACAAGCGGGTTTGTTGAATCTTGACGACGCTGGGACCTTGGGAAGCTGCCTGCGAGCAGCATGTGGCTGCAGTGTGCTAGCTTTGCCTCCGTGCACGCGCACTGGCCGCACAAGATCGGTCGTCAGGGTTGTCGTCTCTCCCCCAGAGGCATGTGAACAACATGGTTGATAGTCGCAGCTTGACGACTATGTTGTTGACGTCCGTGCGTACCCAGTGGGTTCTTGGGCTCCTCTATGATTTCCTCGCTTAGCGCCAGGCCTTATCCGTTTAACGTAGACGATGATGGATGTTAGGGGGATGTGCAACTAGTCGTTTTGGGTCTCACGTTCAGCGTGCACGACCGTGCCAGAAGTCAGGACGCTCGTGAGGTTGTGGGGCATAGTGTTGGCCCGAATCAGGAACTAGTGTGAGGACAGCGCGCCCCTCACCAGGATCCAATGAGAGTCTAGGTACATCAGCCGCTTGCGCCTTGAGATCCACAGGGGCACTTGTAAGGTCAGGAAGAGGAGGACGAGGAACTAATGATGATGATGTTGATTGTGACGACGGTGATGATGAGGAAGATGAGGAAGAATTGGCGGAGGAGGCCTTCCCACTTCCCGCGTGCCTTCTTTCTCGTTCCAGATCGCCCTTGCTCCAGGCCCTGCCCCCCCCTCCCTTCCTGCTCCCTCTCTCCCTCTCTACCTCTCTTCGTCTCTTCTTCCCTCTCCCTCCTTCTCCTCACTCCTTCCTTCCTCAGCCCCCCTCTTCCTCACATTCCTCACCCGCTACTTCAATCATCATAATTATGCTTATCCTTATTCTGTTTGTTTCCAATTCGGTTTGCCTAAGGGTTTCTTACTTGATTGAAGGTTGGTGCCTCTGGTGGCTACTTTGCCCGTTCCTCGGAGGTTCCCCAGGTTCCTCGGGTTCCTCGGGTTCCTCGGGTTCCTCGTGTTCCTCGGGTTCCTCGGTTTCTTCGGGTTCCTCGGGTTCCCCGGGTTCCCCAGGTTTCTCTCTCTCTCTCTCTCTATTCATCTTCTTATCCATACCTCTTCCTTCCTCACTCCCTAAACCATCTGTTTATCTCTTAGTGTCCTCTTCCTCTTTCTCTATCTCTCTCTCCCTCCCTCCCTCTCTCTCTTTCTGGGGCGCTTCGTTCCTGTCACCGCCCCGCGCCTCTTGTCCAGTTGCCTCGGCGCCAGGGGGGGGCTTCGTTTCGGGGACCCCTGTTTATATGGGCTGTGCTTGGCCACTGATAGAGCTCGGCCGGGCAGGCGCTTGCCCCTGCCGGCCAGGACACGAGTGTCCGTCTCGTTGTCTCTCTCTCTCTCTCTTTCTCTCTTTCTCTCTTTCTCTCTCTGTGTCTGCTTCCTCTTTCTACCCCTTTCTACCTCGTCGTCTACTGCTACTTTGTTCATACCTCTCCGCTCCACCTCCGTCCTGCCCCCCGTCCCCTATCCTTGCCCCTGCCTCGTCTGCCTCTCCTTCTCCCGCTCTGCACGCCTTTCCCTCGCCTCTAGTTGTGCTGCCGTTGTCGTCGTTGTCGCCGTCTTCCTCCTCCTCCCCCTTTTTTTCCTTTTTACGCAACGCCTCCTCCGCCTCCCCGTCGGTTTTTCCCCCCCCACGCCCCCCGCTCGTCCTGCTCCTTCTGCTCCCGCCCGCGCGCCGCGCGCCTGCTCATCCTGCCGACCCTCTGCTTCGCCCCCTGCCGCCCCTGCCCGCGCTCCCTCTCGGCAGCCGCCCCTGCCCTGCATATACGGTGGGGGCGCTGCTTAAGGAATGTCAGCCACGCGCAGAGGGGGGTGGGGGGAGGGGGGAGGGCTTCTTAGAAGCACCCCTGCTTCTTAGAAGGCGCGGGCCTTATCTATAGGTGTAAGGCTGGCGCCTTCTAAGAAGCAGCCTCCTTCTAAGAAGCTATCCCCCCTCCCTCTACCCCCTTTTGCGCACCGCCAAGAATGTGCCCAGGAGGCTGCAGACCCTGGAGGGTTCCTTGTCTGGTGAGGGCGGCGGTGCTATCCGTGGCCAAGCTTCGATCGGAGTTCCCTGGTGCTCCAGACCCCGGCTCTGATCGAAGGGTTCCTTCTCCGGTGCTCCCACCGTATACCACTGAAGCACGGACCAGATCCCCACCCACTCCCACCACACCAAAACTGCAGCTTCGCGGGTTGCCGCTGCTGCCGGGCTCGCGGTGCAGGCACTGCAGCTGCCGCGGGGCACTCGAGCCCCGCCGCCGGCGCCCGCGCCGCAGGCCTTCATCACCCCGGATTGCTACGTCGTGCTGGCCCTCCCGTCCGGGGACCTCATGTCCGTCATCCGGGCGGCGGCGATCGACAGCCCCAAGATGATGGAGGTGGACGGGTCCCCTATGCTGCGGCCTTCTGCCCCCCCTTCTCCCCCCCCCTCTCCCACTTGTCGGGGGCGGCCACGAGGGGGGTGCTGACGAAGGGGGGGGGATGGATATCATGGCGGGGGCCATGGTGCCTCCCCAGATTTCATGGCGCTGCTTCTTGTTTCAATGCGTCTCCGCCCCCCTCGTGGCGCATCTTCTTATTTCAATACGTCTCCGCCCCCCCCCTGGGCCGCGCACATGCTGCCGGCCATGATTTGCGCCCTCCCCTCTTGCACGCCCCCCTCTTGTTGGCCGCCCCCGACATTGCCGAGCAGTGGCGAAGTAGGCCCACCAAAGGCTGTCCTGAGAACCTTCGTTGTGGTCTGCATGAGACGTTCTTGGAACCTTTCTGGCCGAGACCGTCTTGTCCCCACACCTCGGGTCTATGCTCCAAGAGCCTCGTTTTTTTTCTGAGAGCGCTTGCTTGCTTCTGCGAACATGTCGTGGCATGCCTATAGGAATGCCGGGACGGTCGGTCCCCCCCTGACGTGCCATAAATTAACAGCCGGTTGGCCACATAAATTTTCTCAGCGTCCGCCGCCGACAAGGAACTCATACCATACGCGTGAGCATCGCCCTGGAGAGCAGGCGGCCCGAGCCCATCATTCTTCCGAGCGCGGGACCACGTCTTAATGTGGCATCGCCTGCCCCTTCCCGCCCCCGTCTTCCTGGCAGCAGCCTCCCGGCACGGCTGGCGCCCGAGAAGCCGTGCCGCCGACCTCGGGCTCCGAGGTGCCCTGATTTGAGGTTCTCTAGCCCGCTTGGCTTGAAACATCCTCGCAACTCTCGCCTGTGGATTTGCGGCTCGTGAGCTGCTCTCGCCTTCTTCGCTTGAGACATCCTCACAACTCTGGGTTCTATCGCGAGGTACTCAGGCCTGTTTTGCCTGAGACATCGTCCGAACCCTGGGCTGCTGCGAGATGCCCTTAATTGAGGCGCTCTGGCCCGTTTCGATTGAGACGTCCACACAACTGGGTTCCAAGACGTGGTCCGAGAGGCGCTGTTGACGGAGTAGTTGTTCGGGTTGTCCCCGGTGCCGGGGGAAAGTGGGGACCAATAGAAAGTGACAGAACAAACGAGATGTCACCATATCTGTATATATATGTATATATATGGTACAAATTATGTGGTGTCTTATCTGTGTAACCTATGTGGTGATTATTTGTGTTGGTCAATCCATCTGGAGCAATCTATGTGGTTCAATTTATGTGGAGCAATCAATATGGTGCCATCTAGGTTGTACCTTATACATAGATCTATGCTTTGCAATCTATGTGGTGCAATTTACTATGTTCGGGCACACATCCCATGTTCGGGCACACATCCCATGTTCGCGCGCAACCACCTCCCATGTTCGGGCACACATCCCACCTGCCCAGCCGCAACTTCAGTTCAGCCTAAATGAGTGCGGCTGTGATGGCGATGGCTGCTTGGCGCTGGCCGGTGCATCGATGCGGTCGCGCTAGCGCGCGCAGGCTCGCGCGCCGAGCGGCCAGCTAGTCTGGCGTGACCGACGCGGCCGCGGTGGCGCTGACCGCTGGGGACTTCCCAGCGCGTCTCGCAGGCCGCGTTGACGCGCGGGCACATCAGTGCGAGTCGGGTATTCGGGCGGGCGTGGTACCATGGCGACGTCGACACCTGCAGGCACGATGATGATAGCAGCGATGCTGGTGACGATGATGACAATGACGACGGCCAGGGCAATGGCGGCGCTGATGCTGATCACGCCGATGACGATGATGGTGTCTTCGCGTCGGTGATGAAGGTTCTGGAAGAATTTCGACATGCGCGCGCGGTCGACGCGCGCGAGTGGCCCGGATCGTGGCGCCCCAGCACGCGCAAGGGCGTTCGAATGATTTCGACATGCGCGCGCGAGAGGCACGCTTGGTACCATTGGGCTGACATGTCAAAGGGCTTCTGTTTTCTAAGAATTCGCAAACGTGTTTTTGGTAAGTCGCATGAGCGCGAGCCTTTTTCGTTTTTTTTTTGGTTTTGAAAATTCCGGATGCGAAGCAATTGTTCCCAACCCTCCTGTGTTGGGTTCTCGTTTTGAATAGAGCAGTGTGGTCGCCTCGTTCTTCCTCCTCCTCCCTGCTCCTCTCATCCTTCTCTCCTGTCTCCTGTGTTCCCTTCTCCTCTTCTCTCGTGCCGTCTGCGATCTGCGCGACTGTCGCCATTTTCGTGGGCTCCTGGGAGGCCCAGCGGAGGTACGTCCCACGCGGACCACCACTATAGCTTACGGTACCTGGGGGCTGCGATCTGCGAAATTGTCGGCACTTTCGTGGGCTCCTGGGAGGCCCAGCGGAGGTACGTCCCACGCGGACCACCACTATAGTTTGCGGTGCCCTGTCGGGCTGCGATCTGCGAAATTGTCGGCACTGTCGTTGGCTCTTGGGAGTCCCAGCGGAGGTAAGTCCCACGCGGAGCACCACTATAGCTCGCGGTGCCCTGGGGGGCTGCGATCTGCGCAACTGTCGGCACTGTCGTGGGCTCTTGGGAGGCCCAGCGGAGGTACGTTCCACGCGGACCATCACTATAGCTCGCGGTGCCCTGGGGGGCTGCGATCTGCCAGATTGTCGGCACTTCCGTGGGCTCTTGGGAGTCCCAGCGGAGGTAAGTCCCACGCGGATCACCACTATAGCTCGCGGTGCCCTGGGGGGTTGCGATCTGCGAAATTGTTTGCACTTTCGTGGGCTCCTGGGAGGCCCAGTGGAGGTACGTCATACGCAGACCATCACTATAGCTCCCGGTGCCCTGGGGGGCTGCGATCTGCGAAGTTGTCTGCACTTTCGTGGGCTCCTGGGAGGCCCAGCGGAGGTACGTCCCCTGCGGACCACCACTATGCTCGCGGTGCCCTGGGGGGCTGCGATCTGCGAAACTGTCGACACGGTCGTGGGCTCCTGGGAGGCCAGCAGAGGTACGTCATGCGCGGACCACCACTATAGCTCGCGGTGCCCTGGGGGGCTGCGATCTGCGAAATTGTCGCCACTTTCGTGGGCTCCTGGGAGGCCCAGCGGTGGTACGTCATACGCGGACCACCACTATAGCTCGCGGTGCCCTGGGGGGCTGCGATCTGCCAGATTGTCGGCACGGTCGTGGGCTCCTGGGAGGCACAGCGGAGGTACGTCATACGCTGACCACCACTACAGCTCGCGGTGCCTTGGGGGGCTGCGATCTGCGAAATTGTCGGCACGTTCGTGGGCTCCTGGGAGGCGCAGCGGAGGTACGTCATACGCGGACCACCTCGGGACCTCGCCGCCCCCTGGGGGGCTTGCGATTTGCCGTTCCTCTTCTTGCTGCGCTCTTCTGAACTCATTGCTGGATGCTCTTCTTACGCTCTGCGGGTCCTTCAGAATGCCAGTCAGCATTGAGTGGTCCTGAGTATAATCGCCACACGTATAGAAAGTGTTGGGTACGTCACAGGGTATTCTTCTGTTTGTGAATTGTCGTGCCACTCGATTTCGACATCCTTTCGAACTCGGAGGTATTCGAAAGATTTCGGCATGCGCACGCGACGACTCGCGCGCGTGCACTTCGTCACGTTTTTTTTGTTTTTTTTTTGCGAGGGACTATTGCGACAGCACGCGCGCAAGGGCGTTCGAATGATTTTGACATGCGCGCGCGGGGGAGGGGGTCACGTTTCGTCGCAGTCTATTAAATGTTGACGAACGTGTGGTTTGTGTTTCGAATTTGCAAGAGTGCGAGCGCAGGCTTTTTGGAACATTCCTGTTGCGACACCGTCGTGTTTTATAGGGTTTGGGGACAAAGTTTCGACCTCCCTGCACTCCAGATGTTTCAAGGATTCTGAGGATTCTGGGATGCGCGCGCGACGATGCGCGCGTGTGCACTTCGTCAAGTGTCTTGGCAAGGGTTCTCGACCCTCCCTCCCTCCTCTTTCCTGCCCCTCTCGGGCGGCTGCTGGCTGTCAGTGCTGCCCTCCCTCCGAGGCGGGGACATCCGTGACCGCCGCCTGGGGGATCGAGCTTCGGGGGCCTCGGCGGGCGATGGACATGGATATACAGTCGGGGCGCTGAGGGAGGAACCTTTTTCGTTGGGGAGGGGCTCGGTGTCTCTTGATTGTTTAACAGGTTGCCTCATGTTTTCCTGAGGTTTCCCAGGGGACATCGAAGATTCACTTATGGGAGAAAGGGGCCTCGTTCCTTATTTAGGGTTCCTTAGGTCAACGCCCCGACTGAAGTCGGGCCCACGGGCGGGCCCAAACGCATCCTGATTCACTGCCCGCTGGGGTCCCCGAAGATGATCGATACCCAAGCCGGTTGTTGTGGAGGTCCCCGCCTCGCACCCCTCCCTTCCCTGGCAGCGCCCCCGCCGTTCGACCACCAGTCCTGCGTGTTTCTCAGCACGGGGCCTCATACATCAGTCAGCTTGTTTCCCAGTGCTTTTTTTATGCGTCGTCTCCACCCTCAGGACGTATTCAGTCCTTCGGCACGGCGCTCACGCTTCAGCGCTAGCCGCATCTCAGAGGATCGGTGACGTGCCCCCGTCGTGCAGAATGGGCGCCACACACTTGTGGATCCGACTACTTCCTCGCCGCTGCCGCCCCCGCCTTTTCCCCTCCTTCGCCTTCCCGTGCTCCTCCTGCTCCTCCTCCTCCTCCTGCACGTCCTCCTTCGGTAGAGGGAAACAATTAGTGAACACCCCCCCTGCCCCCCAAGCTCAAAGTTGGCACGCGGGGGGGGGGGACTGCGGTCGAGGTGCAGCTCATCAGACCCACCGCCAACTTTGAAAAATTGGGGGAAGGGGGAGGCGTTCACAGATGAATGTGGCATGAGTGTTCGCTAATTTTTTCCGAGGCCTGTTCCTCATTCTCCCGCTCATCCGTCGCCTTCTCCTCATCTCTCAGCGTGCAGGAGGCCCCCCCCCCCTACGGACCCCCCAGCAGAGGACGAGCCAATCCCGCAGCTGCCGTTTGGGGATCGATGTCCTGCAGGACAGAGGAGTCAGCGCAATGGGAAGTGAATTGTGGGAGGAGCAGGGTGCCATATTCGCCGCGAGCGCACCTGGCGCGCCTTCCCCCCACGCTCCCCCTTCCCTGTAGTAGGTTCGTGCCGTGTCGATACAGCGGTGACCCCGCCGCGGGCGTTCAAGGTTGAACGCCGCCAGTGGCGTAGAGTCGGCCAACATGGAACGGCCTGGGGATCAAAAAGCCGGCGGTCGTTCAAGGCTGAACGATTCACGTGGTTTCAGAATCCAGCGCCCCGGTCGTCACGACATTTTTTACCATGCGAAGGAGGAGGAGGAGGAGGAGGAGGAGGAGGAGGAGGAGGAGGAGTTGCACCGAATGAACGAGAAGGAGGAGAAGGAGGTTTTCCGTATTGACTAGGAGGAGGGCGAGGAGGAGGAGTAGGAGGAGGAGAGTCCAACGCCCGGGTCGTCACGGCACGAACCGACCGCATGGCAGGCACACCAAACGAGCGAGTCCGGCCTGCCAGTGGTGGATCCACGAGGGCCCGCAGAGCCTCTGGGGGGCCGCGGATCCCCGGGCCACCGCACGAAGCTCGAGAGTCGACGAAGGGACCCAAACAGCTAAACAAAACAAACAACCAACACCAACGACAACAACAACCACACCAACAACGACAACAACAACACCAACAACAACAACAGCAACAACACCACCACCACCACCAACAACAACAACAACGGCAGCAACAACAACACCACTACCATCACCACCACCACCAACAACAACAACAACAACAATGACAACAGCAACAACAGCAGCAGCAGCAGCAGAAGCAGCAGCAACAACAGAAACAGCCTAGGCTTCTTACAGCAGGACTTCTTCTCGTGTGCGCCTGCTGCGCGGCCCCTCCTCGCGATGCGGGCGCGTGGCCCCGCCGGGGGCAGCAGACGGGGCGCCTGCAGGCGGTCACCCCCGAGCAGCTGGTGGACTTCTTCATCTACGCCCGGGAGGTGAACACCTGCGTGGCCGACGCGCGCACCCGGGCGACGGGGCGCCTCACGAAGGAGCCCCCCCCGGCGGCTGCGCGGTCGAGCGCCTGTGCGCCCGTTCTCCTCTCCCTCCTCCGCCGGCTGGATCGGTCGTCACATCATTCTGTCTGCGGCCTCTCACCAGCAGTTGCCTTCGTCGCCGCTTCTCCGCCTCGCCCGCCAGCTCTGTGGCTGTGCCCGCACAGTGCACGACCCCTCGGAGCTGGGGCACCGACGCAGGAGTGATGAGCTACACGCCCTGAGCGCCTCGCCCGTCCGCAGTCCCCTCTCCGCAGCCGTCCTCGCCTGTGCTGGCATCTGTGGTGGCGCGGCTGCAGAGTCCGTGCTTCCGCAAACGTTGGAACGGCCTTGCGTCATCATGGTTGATGTCGTGGGTTCTCTGAGCAGGCCTAGGGCGTTGAACACGGATCTTGACGCTAGCCATGCCCATTGATCCTTAACGGCCCTACCTTCAGGCGTTTCTCATGGGCCCTGTTCGAGGGCCACCAATTTGCAAGGCCTCGTCAGCCGCCCGTCGCTCCAGCTGCTCCCGGGCTGGAAGAGGCGGAGGTGTGGCCAGTGCGACTTGGTTGCGTGCATGGGCGCTATGCCTAACCCTGGCAGCCAAGCCGTGCCAGCCCCTTTCAGTTTGGTGCCCCCCAGGACACTACTGCGCGTTTCGACGGTATTATGTGAAGCGATCGGTGATGCCGAGGCCGTGCACGACGCACATTCAGTGTGCCACGGTCATGCCTCCACCTCTTTCGGCTTTAGCCGTCTCACACTTCATGTTGTATTTGGGTTCTGGCTCCACGACCTGGAGCTCAACCATCTTCTTCCACGTTGGGACCCGGTCAACGCTATGGTCGGCGATGCCGAATATTTGGCCAGACTGAGTGCCCAGCACTTGTAAGCATGAAAGACATAGTGAGTCAGAGTCTGGACGAGTAACGTTGGAACTCACCAGGCTTGGACCGATCCACGCTGGACCCCCCAAGAAAATCGCCCTTGGCCCACGGGCTGTTGAGTCGGTACGTCCAGTCGTGAGACATATTGCCACCTTGTTCTGCATGCCCACATGCGGAGGCTCTTCATGCTGATGCATCCGCTGATCTTCCGCTTGGTGTTCGCTCCAGGTACTCGTTGTGCTGCAGAGTGGGCAAGCTGCATACGGGGGAATTCGAAATTAGCACTCTGCCGCTGGGGCTTTCCAGTGCTGATGCGCCGCCATTGCAGATCCAACCGCTCAATCGGCTGCACGGTCATCTTCGGCCGCAGGTCACAGTATGCAAGCGCCCCGGGAGGCCTTGGCATAAATAAGCGTTCAACATTCGGATGTGCACGGAGGTCGTCCACAGCCCAGGCTTGCTGGGTGCTGTCGACGTCGGCCGCCCGCGGATCCCCGCGACTGTGGCCTCATGCAGGAGGACCTCTTGTGTGCGCCCAGTCGGTGCGTAGGCACCGCCCCCTATCCCGCTGGCGAGGCCGGAGGTTCTCCGAGGCTTGCCTCGCAGGCCCTGAGGCCTGTCCTTCGCAGGCGACGTTTCTATCCCAACCCCCGACTTGTCGACGAGGAGTGAAGCGGCTCAGAACAGGAGGGGCACCTCGTGATACAGCCCCAGGGGTCTGTTCGGACGCACCCCTACTGAGGATGGGCGCCCCCCCTCGCGTATCCCAGGGTTGGGCCCCAATGTTCGGGGTCCACTCGAAAACCCCACTCGGCCTGGGATAGGGGTCGACATATCCCCTGTTACAGTCAACCCGCATAATAAGGATGGGCAGCCCTCCCAAGGGAACAGTCAACCCGCATAGTAAGGATGGGCAGCCTTCCCAAGGGAACCCTTGCGCCCCGTCGGCCCCACCCTTGGCCGCTTTCACCGGCCGCGCCCCACTCGCAAGGCGTCGACATGGCCTTCCGAGGCCCTTGCATCGTTTCCGCGCATCCTTCCATACGGGTTGATTGTATTCCTCCTTGTCAGAGAATCAGAGAATCAGAAGCCGGGCGACGGCTGACAAACCCGTGGCTGCTAAAACGGAGCTCGGGGAAATCTTTTTGTTCTCCTCCGGGAAGCAGCCCGTTTACTGTTGAGTGTGCTGAGCTTGATTCCGGGAATTCGTTCCTTCCTTCGGGGAAGACCGTTTTTTCGGATGCAACTCCTGGGAGGGCAAATTCTGATTCTGCCCTGGTCCGAAGTCCGGCTTGATCCCGCTTGCTCCCGCTTGATCCAGCTCAATCTCGCTCCATCCCGCTGCATCCGGCTCCATCCGAGGCCCACGCCGGCGCAACACCCCCCCCCCGATGGGGCTCGATCCTCTTGAAGACTCCTCCGACGAAGATCTCCGCCTCCCAGTAGAGTTGCCTCCCAACGTTTTCGCAGCCGCGGATGTGCCAGCCCTCGCCGAGCTTCCGAGGAGCTGGCGCGGACGTCGTGCGGCGGCGAGGCTGGGGCTCGCCTCGGCGGCCGGCCCCGAGAGGCCCCCCGCCCCTGCCCAGAGGAGGCCCTTGGGCGCGGGCGCCGCGCGCGGGCGACCCCGAGGCCCTCTCCAGGGCTCCCCTCGTGGCCCCAGGGGCCAGCTCCTCCGCCTCCTCCGCCTCCTCCTCCTCCTCCGCCTCCTCCTCCTCCTCCTCCTCCTCCTCCTCCTCCTCCTCCCCTCCTCCTCCTCCTCCTCCTCCTCCTCCTCCTCCTCCTCCCCTCCTCCCCCCCCTTCCCCTCCGCCTCCGCCTCCTTCTCCGCCTCCGCCTCCGCCTCCGCCTCCGCCCGCCTCCTCCTCCGCTCCTCCTCCTCCTCTCCTCCTCCTCCTCCTCTCTCCCTCTCTCTTTCCCTCCCTCCCTCCCTCCGTGCCTCCCTCCCTTCCTCCCTCCCGCCTTCCCTCTGGCTTCTCCTGGGCCAAAGCGCAAACAGCGCTGACGGCATCCGGAGGCGATGCCGAGGCCCCCCGCGCTGTGACTCGGGGCTTCGGGGTGCTGCCCCTGTGAAGAGCCCGGCGCGGGCGACGTGCCACGACGATCCCTCGCGGCTTTTCGATCTTCCTCGTGAGATTTGCCTCAGTAAAGCACCCTGACAGCAGCCAGAGTGAAGGGGCGGCGGGAGCATGGCCCGGCCAGGTGCGCCTTTTCTTACAAAGGGGTCGTGGCCGTCCCCACCAAACATGTAGGCGGCTGCCGGACCGTGCGAAGCACGATGAGGGAGCGATGCGGACGACTCCGAGGCCCGCGTGAGCTCGGGTTTCGCAGTGTTCACTCGGGGCCCCCGAGCGGCCTCGGGCTTCTGGCAGAGCCCGTGGGCGCGCGCGGTGCCGCCTGCACGTTCCGCCAGAGCTTTTGAGCCCCTGGCTCGTCCGAGGTCGCCGCGCAAGGGTGGCTTCGTCCGTCCGTCGGTTCGGGGAGCGGGGTGGGGCTGGCAGTTCCGAGGCTTGGGGATCGACCTTTGGGAAGCGCTCGGCAGCAGGTGGACATGGATCTACTGGGGCCCCGGGAGGACAGACGAAGCCCATGCCCACCGCCCGTCGAGATCCCACAGTACGGTGGAAAGCCACGCCAAGAACCACCCTGCCTGCCTCCAGGGTGCCCTGGGTTTCTTGGCTTTCGCTGGTTTCTGCGACGGAAAGCGTGACGTTCCCACACCCAAATCCATGGACGCCCTGGGGACTCAGGGTGGGGGTTCGTCTTGGAAGGGTTCTTGTGGTCGAGCTCCTGCTGTATCGATCCCCCAGGCGACGATTTGTTGACAGACCCCCGCCCCGCAGCAGTTGGTCGCGCGACGTTGCCGTCGTAGCCTGCACCGCGCGCGCGGCCTCCTGCGCGCGGTGCAGAGGCTGTCCTTCGGGACGCCCCCGCCCCGGGGCGAACTTGCCCCTTGGAGCCGCGGGCTGTCATGTGAGGCGCTCCAAGAGGGGCCTTGCCTTCGAGGACCGAAGGGGTTGACATCTCGTCCGCGGCGGAAGCCGGTGTAAGGTCGGCGGAAGGCGGCGGAAGTAAAACGAGGCTGCCCCCTTGGAGCTGCGGGATGTCACGTAAGGCGCTCCAAAAAGGGCCTTGCCTTCGAGGACCGAAGGGGTTGACATCTCGTCCGCGGCGGAAGCCGGTGTAAGGTCGGCGGAAGGCGGCGGAAGTCAAAACGAGGCTGCCTCCGTGGGCGGAAGCTCGGAAGTAAACGAGGTGCCCCCAAGAGATGGAAACGGATTTGGGTGCAGTGTTTCCGAAGTCGCCCACGTGTGACGCACCCGTGCCGAAAACGTGTCCTCCGAGGCCTATGCCGACGAGCCAGGTGGTGCTTTGGGTGGCGATCAACGCCACTCCGTGAGAAGATATCCACGATGGTCTCCGCCGTACTTAGGTGAAGGAACACCTTTTTTGGCCATAGTGATCTGCGTCATGGCCACGTCGCTTTAAAAAACACTCGTCATTCTGAATGCAAAGCATGCCAACATATACACATATATGTATACATATATGTACGTATATATATATTGTCCTCTGCTCTAGCCACGCTGCTGCCCAGACTGTGCCGATGGGGAGCGCCCAGCCATGCCGACCTGATCAAGTTCAGGGAGCCCTCGACATCGCCCAGCAGGCAAAGGTCAGGATCCAGTCCCAGCCCGCGCAGCTCGGGATGGAACGAATACTTCTTAACGCTGGAGGCAAACGCTGCCAGTGAGGCCAAGTATAATATATTAGGACGCCGTGCCTCCGTGGAGGCTTTCGCCGCCCCCGACGCTACACCTCCGCCTTCTGGTCGGGGATGCAGGACACCGACGTCATCACTGCAGCGGGCCCCAATTACCGCCAGGCCAGGAACCCATGAGGATGAGAAGGACAACGCCGACAAGAAGGACGTACAAGGCTCCCCCCAAGAACGACTACCACTGCACACTGTTGGGGGCCAAGATCCTTTCACTTGTAGTTGTTCTAAGAATCCTGGGCCTCTTCCTGGCCACTGGGGTCCAGGAACACTTAGAAGCGAGCACAGTTAGAAGCGAGCAAGATTAGACATGGACGACGTGTAGCGCACCCCAAACCATGAGTACATGGCGTGCCCGACGTCAGACGGTGCCAGTTTGACAGCCCTGCGTGTCTGGATCGAGCCCATGCTGCTGTGCATCCCCTGCAGTCCCGTAGCCATCTCTGCTCGCCTGCTTCCCGTCGGGACGAAGTTTTGCTTTCTCCCACTCCCTGCGGGGTGGTGTCATCCGATCCCTCGTTGGGCATGTGTCTCCTCCTCTTTTTTCTCCCCCCTCTCTTCCTCCTGCCTCTCCTATTCCTCCTCTTCTCCCCCTTCTCTTCCTCCTCCCTCTCCTGTTCCTCCTCTCCTCCCTCTCCTGCCCTAGTCGTGCTTCTATGTTTCCTCTCCCTCTCGTTCTTGGTTCCGTCGTCGTCGTCGTCGTCGCCGTCGTCGTCGCCGTCGTCGCCGTCGTCGTCGTCGCCGTCGCCGTCGCCGTCGTCGTCGTCGCCCTCTCTCTGCCCATGCCGCACTCCCCGCCGCGGGCGCCGCCGATCCTCGGCCCGCTCCGCCCGCCCGCCCCCTTCCAGCCCTCCTGCCCTCCCGCCCCCCTTCAGCCCCCTACTTCGCCCCGACGCTGCGGGCCTGCTTCCTCGGACCCCCCCCCCTCCCATCCTCGCGCCCTCGCCGCCCGCGCCGGCCTCCGGCGGCCTGGCCCGCCCCCCGCCCGCCGGCGTGCCGCGCGCTCCGCGCCCCGCTCCGTCCCGCCTGCCCTCCCGCGGCGCGCGCCATCGGCCACGAGTCCGCCCTCTCCTCCCTGCTCCTCGCCCCCCCCTTGCCCCCCCCCCCTCCCAGTCCTCGTCGCTGCTCTCGTCGTCGTGGCCCGCCTGCTTCTCTCACCCCCTCCTCCTCCTCCTCCTGCTCCTCCTCCTCCTCCTGCTCCTCCTCCTCCTCCTCCGCCTCCTCCTCTCTCCTCTCTCCTCTCTCCTCTCTCCTCCCGCGCCCTCTTTCAGCGTGCTGTTCGGCGCTCGTCGGCACCGTGCCCTCTCTCTCGGCCTGCTATTCGGCGACCTCCCCTGCCACCTCCCCGTGCCAGCTCATCTCGGCCAACGACCTCACGGGCGTGTCCTCGTTCCCAGGGGGAGGGGTGAGGAGGAGGAGCAGGAGGAGGAGGAGGAGGAGGAGGAGGGAGAGAGGATAGAGGATAGAGGAGAGAGGAGAGGAGGAGGAGGAGGAGGAGGAGGAGGAGGAGGAGAGGAGGAGGAGGAGGACGAGGAGGACGAGGAGGAGGAGGAGGAGGAGGAGGAGGAGGAGGAGGAGGAGGAGCATGACGGCAAGGGGAGTTTTGCAGCTCGGGGGAGTCGTGCGGAGGACGGGGCAGAGGGAGGGGGAGGGGCGATGATGGTGGAGGGGGTCGGGGAGGTCTCTGTTCTCAGCCCTCCACCGGTGCTGGGCAATCGTTTTCTTTCCGATTGATGCCCCGGAGACGGCACAAGTGGGCGCGATCGCAGGCGCTCTGAATTTCCATTCTGGAGCGCCCCTGATACACCTCGTGCCCATGGGGAGCCCGCGCTCCTAAGCTGCGGCGCCAGTGGGCACGACCGCATTCGGCGGTCCCGAGCTCACTTCTCATCTCCACCCCATCACACTCATACTTCGGACCCCAAATTGCAGCGCCAGTGGGAACACTTCCTTTCGCATTCGGTCTTCGCCCTGACGCAGCAATCACACACTTCTCGTGCCCCACCGGGAGACACCGAACACGCAGCGCCTGTGGCCACGCGACAGTATGCGCCCTATGGGCGGATGCGTGCGCCCCACATGCCAGACTTGGCCCGGCTCATACACAGCGTGCCTCGCAGGGAGAACGCCGACCTTGGGGTTTAGGGCCACGACAGAATGGCCCCCGATGCCGACGTTGGCATCCTCCGCGCACGCTGCGTGTCCCACAGTGTTCACGGCCTTCCCCGCCCTTCTTTTTTGCAGCTGCAGGTGTTCGGTGTTTCGCCAACCTCGCTCGTCGATTCGACCGTCGGGCCCGGTGGCTACAGTCGGAGCGCGGTCCCGCTGGACTTCTGTGACTCAGTCTGGTGGCGACCGTTGTTACTTCAACATTGTCCGTTTCGATGCGATTGATCCGATTCGGCATCGGCTTCGGCCATTTCGATCCCATTCGATTCCGAGGTTCCCTCGATCCGATTCGGCCCGACGCCTGCGTGCCGCTGCTGCGCGTCCTGGCGCGGCCGACCCGCTGCGATTGTCCGGCTCCGTGCCGATGCGGCCCGCTCCGATTCGCATTCCGAGCCGACCCGGTTCTCCGATGCGATGCCGGCCGACCTTGCTGCGGCGGGTTCGGCTGCGGCTGCGCTGCGCCTGCAGCTGCGCGGCTTCGGCTGCGCCTGCACAGCTGCGGCTGCGCAGCTGCGCGGCTGCGGCTGCGCGGCTGCGGCTGCGCGGCTGCGGCTGCGGCTGCGGAGCTCTGCGGGGTCCCCGGCGGTAACCGACGGGGAGCCGGAGCGCGGAACGGCCCGCGGGGTGTTTTCGGTTTTGGAGTGTATGGCACAGCACGGTCCCAGGCGTCTTGTGTGTTCAGCGGCCTGGGCGATCGAGGGGCTCTGATGCTGGGGCCACCAAGAGGGTTCGAAGTTAGTCGCGCTTCGCGGTCCCGGCGATCTCAGAGCAGGGCGCGAGTCCCTCATCCTGTTCGGGGGGGGGCGGCGCGACAGCGCGAAGATGAGTGCGCTTCGCGATTCGCAGAGCGCGAAGCGCGAATAAAGTTGCCCTAGCTAAGGGTAGCTCCACTTTGTTCGGCATCGGCGGCGGAGAGCAGTTGCATAAGTATGTATGGATGCGTACGGCGTGCACTGGTCGAAGGATCCCTCAGCCTGGGTCAAGGCATCACCGCAGGTAGAACGTACCGCGTGGTTCAGCTCCAAACCTCGCCAAGTAGCACTAAGAAGTTTGGAAGCAGCGCACAGTGCTATCATTGAAATTCCCGAGCCCGTCATGGCAGCCCGCCGCAATGATCGGCCAATGATGGAGTCAGGTAGGAGGAGGCCTGAGGTGAACCTTTCCAGGCGAGATCTAGGAATCTCTTAGGCGAAGTCTCGCTTCCCCCTGCCCCCTGTTCATTGCCCTTGCTGACTGCTTGCGGCTTGTCTACGAGAACTCCACCCCGATTCCTGGATTTGCGCCGTCTTATCTTGATCGGTTTTGGCCAGAGTTGGACTTCTCGAGTTCACTGCTCCTGACCTTTCGGCAGATGTCCCCGTCCACCCGACGAGCTCCACATAGTGGCGCTTCATTTCAAAGCGTGGCGTTTCGGACATGGACCCCGCATTTTGTATGAGAGCCTTTCTGGCTTCTCCAGGGTCTTCCGATGCCCCTTGGTTCTCTTCCTCCCTTCACGTCTTTCTTCCCAGGCGAGGCTGAGACCTCCCATCCAGCCTTGAACCGTGCGCTGGTTGAGATTTGCCACTGGGCCAGAAGAATACGTGTAGGATATTCCCAGGTGCTTCCATGAATCGTTACGTCATGCTTGTGATTCAGAGGATATGCACTGCATGTCGAAGAGGATTTAACAATACGACAACGTTCGTGCTGCCTCCTTCTCCGCCTCCTCCCCTCTGTCGTGTCCTTCGTACTTCCCATCGTTTGGTTTCTCCCCCAGGCCTTGCCGTTCAGTGCGGCAACCATGGATGTCTTTTCGAGTTGGCCATTGGCGTACATTACAGCTGCAACCCAGTATGCTGTGGTTTGGGTTGCGTGTTACGCACTCGGATGTGCTCCAGGGGTGCCCCCCTTTGTGTGCCCCTATTCGCTTCGGTGGCTGATCATGCCTTGGAATATCTCTATGGGAACATTGACCGCAAACGGCGTGGGCGGCCGTAGGCTTGCGGGCTTGCGCGGACGACATCGCCTCGGCAGTTCGTCTTTGTATGCTCGCGCGTCGACTCGCCAATCTCTATCTCAAGTTCGGTATTCTGCATCGCCCCGTCAGGAACGCCGCTATCGCGTTCGAGTGCGAACGCACTCCGCGCGACGCTCACCGGGGTCGCGGTCGAGTAGTCGACGCTCAATATTGTTGGAGACCTTCTCTATTTTGGACTCGGGCTCGGCCCTGGGGCCTCGAACAGTGAGCAGCTCTCGCAGCGGAAAAGGGCAGTTCTTTTTGAAGGTTGCTGGACGACTGTGCGTAGCGCGAGTTCCGCCGTTGCTGCCGTACAGCACCATCTGCTCATGCTTCCTAGGACGGCAGCTTTGAAGGAGCGCGTCATGCTCTTCCGCCTCTGGCGAATCCCCGGCTCGACTTCGGGGCACAGTGATGGCGCCTTATGGAGTGCAACTTGGCGCGCCATCGTGCGATCCGCCCTGGCTATTCGATCGACGTGACAGGCCGATCTGGCCCGTCTTCGCGCTGGCATCGTTGCTGCTGGACCTGCCGCGCTTTGGAGCGACCCAGGCTCGCTCCCCCGTTCTTGGGCCTCCACTGCTCTCGCTTGGACCCTCGAGCAGGCCTCCCTCGGATCTCCCCTTCCTTCTCGGGGGGGGTAGGGGCTCGGGATGCCCCCGTGGTCGCTTCCTGGAGCGGCGTCATCTATTGTAGGGGGGCTGGCCGCTCGGAGGTGCTCTCGGTCTGGATGGTCTGTGAAACCCCCCCGGGGGGGAGGCGCGCTGGGAGAAGCAGTTCTGAGCTTGCCAACGAGGCCTCGCTTTCTCCTTCCAGCTTTCGAGGAGGGAGAGGAGGAGGAGGAGGAGGAGGAGGAGGAGGAGGAGGAGGAGGAGGAGGAGGAGGAGGAGGGGGAGGGGAGGAGGAGGATGAGGAGGAGGAGGAGGAGGAGAGGAGGAGGGAGGGAGGGGAGGAGGAGGAGGAGGAGGAGGAGGAGGAGGAGGAGGAAGGAGGGGAGGAGGAGGAGGAGGAGGAGGAGGGAGGAGGAGGAGGAGCAGGAGAGGAGGGAGGAGGAGGAAGGAGGAGGAGGAGGAGGAGGAGGAGGAGGAGGAGGAGGAGGAGGAGGAGTAGGAGGAGGAGGAGGAGGAGGAGGAGGGGAGGAGGAGAGAGGAGGAGGGAGGAGGAGCGCACGAACCCGCGAGCCGCGCTGCCGCCCTCGGGTGCTGTCCCGGGGGGGGGGCCCGCGCGCCGGCGGCGCTGCGCCTCCGCCGCCCGCGCGGGCCGCCGGCTTCATGGCTGGCGATGGCAGGCGTCGCTGCGCTGACGTCGGGCCTGTCCCTCTACAGGAGGATATTCAAAAATAGTCTCACAGACACACACACATACACACATACACACATACACACATATATATATATATATGTATATCAGTTTGTACTATTTTCGAGTATTTTCATTTTTCGTCGAAGATCGGCCTGTGGGGGGACATGCCCGACCCAGCGCTTCGCTTCCCTCTCTCGTCCCATGCAGCCCCGCCCGTGTGGTCACGCGTGGCCGTGAGAGCGTGCCCGTGCAGAGGTTCGGCCCGCGTTGCGCCTTCGGATGCGACTGCCTTGGCACCGTGCACCATTGCATGAGATTGAGTGTCGTCGGGCGAGCGGGGCCGCCTCGGTTGCTCGTAGGAGCCGGTTTGCATCCCTCTTCGTGTTACTCCTCCCAGGCTTCGCTGCGTGTCTTTTCGGGGTCTGCTAGTCGTAGTGGCTGGGGCCGCCCTTGGATGCAGCCGTGCTCTCCTGCGGGGCATGGATGTCCGTGCTCCACAACCCCTCCAGTGTTTCACTTGGCTTGCGGTTTCCTTGTCTCCCATCCCCCTGCTCCTGCGTGCTGCTTGCTGTGGTCTCCCCCCTCCTTCCTGCTCTGCTGCCTGCTCTTTTGCTCGCTTTCCTGCTCCTCTCTCTGTTGTTCGTGGCTCTTCCTCTTTCCCACTTGCTGCCTGTTCTCTATCCCCGACGACCAGAAAGGGGGCGCTCTCGACCCGCGGATCAAAAAATCCCTGCTCTGGCTGCTGCTGTTCACGCGCAGCGCCCCAGTGACAATCGCGACGCTTAGGGATTTGGGTGTCGTTGCGGTGGAGAAAAGCTGGTTGCCCAGCGAGCCTCTGTTCCGCTTGGGGCTCTGTGGCGGGTCTCTGGCATCTGTGTCTTTGCTTCTCACGCCTATTTTTTCCATCGTTGTCCTCTTCAGTCCCCCTCTCAAGCTGTGAGGAAGAGGGCTCTGTGCGACACCTCCCCAGTACGGGCTGTTCTGGCATACTCGTCTAGGAGGCTCGGGGAGAGCAGGGAGGCCGTGGTGACCTCTCCCGCCTCGCTCCATCTCCCCCGTCCCCCCATTTCCCCCCTTCCCCATTCCCTCTTTCCCCCTCCCCCCTTCCCCCTCCCCCTTCCCCCGCTTTCCCTCCTTCCCCCTTCCCTCCTTCTCCCCCCTCCCCTTCCCCTTCCCCTTCCCCCCTCCTCCATCGCCTCCCCATGTGAGAACTTCTCTCACCACGGTCCTTTTTTCCCTTCCATCTCACCTTCCTTCCCCCCCCCCCCCCACACTGACCTGCCCCTCCTTACCCCCCTGTCTTTCTTTTCATTATATCCACCTCCCCCCCTTCCTTCCTTCCCCCCCTTCTCATTCTTTTCCTCTTCCCTCCTTGTCATTACCCCCGTCCCCCCACTCCCTCTCTCCCCCCCTCCTTCCTTCTCCCCCCTCCTTCTTCTTTGTCGAGCTTAGCATCTCACTCGTGCCCGCTAATTCCTGGACCACTAGGTGGGATAGCCTGTTCCTGTTCCTGGTTCTTCTCCCCTCCTCCCCCCCCACCCCCTCCTTCCGTTCTCCTTCTCCCCCCCCCCCCTCCCCCTATTGTTATTACCCCCCTCCTTCTACCCCTCCTTCCGCCCCCCGCCTTCTACGTCCCCAGCCGAGTGTCCATTTCCCCCCCCTTTTCTCTACCCCCCGTTCTCTACGTCATTATATCCAGTTCCCCCCTTTTATTCTACGTCCCCAACCCCTCTTCGTCAAACAAAAAGTCAGGCGAGCGGTCTGTGTCGAGGGTGCCCGATTGTGCAGGTGCGCAGGGTCCAGAAGGCCGGGTGGACATGTTTTGCATGCCAGCTTCCTTCTGCGAAGCGCCGCTTCCAAGCCTGCCTTGGTGGAACTTTCTCTCGACCCACAGGAAGAGGTTGATCCCAGACCGTCGCGTTGTGTAAGATCAGAGCTGTTGGGGGTCCTTCTTTTTTCAGTATCGTTTAACCGACCCCCATCCCCATCCCCTTCGAGACCCCCATCAAACTACTGCCCCACGTGGGGATACACCCCTCAAAACCCGAAGGAAACGGCCTATATCCCCATCTAGGGGGGTAAATCGGCCAGTGGGGCCCAGGCCACGCCGCTGGGGATGGGGATCGGTTAAACGATGCTCATTTTTCTCGTCCTTCGTCCCCGTCCTCCATCCCTCTACTCCTCCACTCTTCCACTCCTGCACTCCCTCCCCTCTTGTGCGCATCCGCACCTCATATTTTTCTTTTATCCCGCCACTGGGGCCAGGTTCCCAGACTCGAGGTTCCAGGAGGCGCTCACCGGTTCGTCCAAGAAGGCGGCGTGCCCACGGACCCACGTTTTCGGCTGTCCTTACAAGCACACGGCAACGGAGGGGGGAAAGGAGAAGGAGGAGGAGGAGGCGGAGGAGGAGACGGTGAGAAGAAGGCGGAGGAGGAGAAGGAGGAGGAGGAGGAGGGGGAAGAAGAAGCGATATGGTGCCGATGTTGACGGTGACGATGATGATGATGATGATGATGATGATGATGATGATGATGATGATGATGATGATGATGATGATGATGATGATGATGATGGTGGTGGTGGTGATGATTATCATGATGTCGATGTTGATGGTGATGTTGAGCATGATGATGTTGGCGATGATGATGATGATGATGATGATGATGATGATGATGATGATGATGATGATGATGATGATGATGATGATGCTGCTGCTGCTGCTGATGATGATGATGATGATGATGATGATGGTGATGATGATGATGATGATGGTGATGATGATGGTGATGATGATGATGATGATGATGCTGATGATGATGATGATGGTGATGGTGATGGTGATGGTGATGGTGATGGTGATGATGATGATGATGATGATGCTGATGCTGATGATGATAATGACGACGATGGTGGTGGTGATGAGGCTGATGATGGTGATGATGATGATGATGATGATGATGATGATGATGATGATGATGATGATGCTGATGCTGGTGCTGATGCTGATGCTGATGCTGCTGCTGATGACGGTGGTGGTGGTGGTGAAGATGCTGGTGATGATGCTGATGCTGATGATGCTGATGATGGTGGTGGTGAGGATGCTGATGAAGATTATGATGATGCGGCTGCTGCTTCTGATGATGGTGGTGATGATGGTTGCTGCTGATGTTGATGATGATGGTGGTGGTGATGATAGTGATGATGGTGGTGTTGATGAGGGTATTGATGATGGTGGGGAGGGTGATGCTGATGGTGGTGATGATGGTGGTGATGATGAGGAGGACCATGAGGAGGGGGACAGAGGGGTGAGATGAAGTTAGGATGAGGAGAGGGATCAGGATGAGCAAGAGAGGAGCAGGAGCAGGAGCTGGAGTTGCCTCGAATATCCTTTGGTAGCCTCTGGTGCTCGCGGACACGATCGGACAGCCACAGGCAAGATCGGATGCCTACGAGGATGGGTCTTTGCTCTAGTGCTCCGTGCGAAGGCAAGCCCCATCGTATTTTCTCTGACTGTTCTTTGTATATTTGAACCGTTCTTCGCTCTTTGAGCCCTTGTGGTGCTCTCAGCGCAATTGCCAGTCGCAGCTCAAATGACTGGTGAGGACGGTGCCCGAGAAGCGGCCCAGGCTGAGGATGAATGACACCTGGCTGGGGCGAGACAGTCAGTCACCCTTCCAAGATGCCAGTGGGTACGTACAACCCTCGTCAAGATTAACCTCACGAATGTCTGACGTGGTTGAGCTGCTTGTCGGAAGATCTGGGGCCGAGTATCGATGAGTGCGGGGTACTTGCATGCGCCGCCCCTCCAATGTCGGTCGACGTCAAACTTTCGAGTCAACTTCGGTCAGACTATCTTTGCCCTCGCCCCGACATTGAAGGGGCGGCGTGTCGACATTGAGGGGAGCGCCGAAATCGAAATGACGTGCCAGCAACTTTTGAGGTTAATTTTGACGAGGGTAGTAGGATCGTGCTGGTCTGGGTCTGCGTCTTCCTCCTCTCTTCTCGGCATCCGCCTCCCACGTTTCGTCCACCTCGGGGATTCCACTGCGCAGCGATGAGATCTTCATTCGTGGCACCCTTGACCCGCTGGGTGCGCTGCGACAGCGTGCGGACACACTAGCTGTGACAGGGGGATCCAGCGCTTTGTATCGTCACTCTCTCTCTGACTCGCACTTAGTCTGCCGCTCTCCGGGTACTCTTCGTGCCCAGCGATGTCACCTCCAGGTGGTAGTGGTGTCCCTCGGCCTCGCAGGTCAAGAGTGGAGGGGGACACATCGACCCCCCCTGGATCAAGAGATTTCATCGGTTGACGGGGTTGAGGAGTGAGCTTCCGGGGCCAATCTCTGCCTCTGCTATAGGACGAGGGGGAGGAGCGGGATTTGAAGAGGAGGAGACACATGAGCTGGAGTAAGAGGAGGAGGAGGAGGAGGAGGAGGAGGAGGAGGAGGAGGAGGAGGAGGAGGAGGAGGAGGAGGAGGAGGAGCAGCAGCAGGAGGAGGAGGAGGAGGAGGAGCAGCAGCAGCAGCAGCAGCAGCAGGACGAGGCGCGCAGGGCCACTCCTCTCCTCTGCCTGGGGCATCGGCACGCTGCGCCCTGCCATGGGTGCGCACGGCCGGGCCGGACCAGAGGGGAAGGAAGAGGGCGCGAGAGCTCGGGGCACAACCGACTGCTCCAGATTTCGTCATATAAGGGAGGGGGTCTGGACCCTCCAAGACAAGCCATTTCAGACCTCCCCCGTGGGAGAACCCTCCAAAGCATCGTCCCCAGACCCCCCAGGCCCTCCGAGATAGCCTGGAAGAGACCCCCCCCCCGAAATGAGACCCACCTCCCTTTATTACGAAATCGGGAGTACAGAAACACAATTTTCGGAGGTCTGCGCGGGTTGCTCGGATCGGCGCCGGACCCCCCCTTCTCCCCTGCGCGCGGAGCGCGCCGGAAGCGGGCGCAGAAGGCGCCGCTTCTGGAGGCCCCAGCGCCGATCCGAGAGGAAGCTCCGCGGACCTCCGCACGCCTACACAGTCGGACCGCGATCTACGAGCGAGGCCCGTTCGGGGAATGGTGCCCCCGTGTTCTCCGCAGGCGTCGGGTGCTCCTCTGCATCCTTGGGAGGGTGCCCTTGGATCCGAGAAAGCTCCGCGGACCTCCGCACGCTTGCAGTCGGGCCGAGGTATAAGACCGAGGTCCGTTCGGGGGATGGCGCCCTCGTGCTCTCTCCGTAGGCGTCGGGTGCTCCTCTGGCATCCCCTGAGAGGGGGTGCCCTCCTGGCTGCTCTGCTTGCTTGGGGCCGACGGAGGGCCTCCTGCTCTCGGGGGGGGTGCCAAAAAACATCCAGGTGTCTAGAACATGTGTTACAACTGTTTTAATCGGGGGTGGACAGAACCCCCAACAGTGACACGTCGATTAGTGAGTTGTCCGTTTTCGGCTCTCGAGAGGGCGCCGTGGCCGTTATTTTCCAGGCTTGCGCCCGCCAGGTTTGGGCCTCAGGTCGTTTTCACTAAACCACGTTTTACTAAAGGGGGGTCTGTCCATCCCCGATTTAAACATGTAAAAGCCAGGTTCAAACATGTAAACATCCAGGTGTCTAGAACATGTGTTACAACTGTTTTTCAGAGCCCCGAATCATCAGGGGTAACTCGGGTCAGGGCTAACTCGGGTTCCTTTATCGGGAATCCAAACCCGAGTTACCCCGTAACTCGGGCGTCCAGAGCCCCGAATCATCAGGGGTAACTCGGGTCAGGGCTAACCGGGTTCGGGATCCCCCGAGTTACCCCGGGAGTTACCCCGGATAACTCGGGCGTCCAGAGCCCCGAATCATCAGGGGTAACTCGGGTCAGGGCTAACTCGGGTTCCTTTTTCGGGAATCCAAACCCGACTTACCCCGGACCCGAGTTACCCCGGATAACTCGGGCGTCCAGAGCCCCGAATCATCAGGGGTAACTCGGGTCAGGGCTAACTCGGGTTCCTTTTTCGGGAATCCAAACCCGACTTACCCCGGACCCGAGTTACCCCGGATAACTCGGGCGCCCAAGTTTTAAACACGTAAAAGCCATGTTTAAACATTTTCATGATATTTCCCGACATTTTAAACGCGGTTTACTTCGATGATGTGACTGTTAGGGTGTCCACTGTCGCGGCATCCACAACGCGAAGTACATGCCGACGTGCGGGCGCGGCGGCGGCCGCTCCCGCGCTGCCCCCCTCAGGCGCAGCGGCTCTACCCCGGCCGCCAGGGGCCGACGGTGCACACCTTGGGGCGGGAGCGCGGCGCGGCGCAGGGCGCGGCGCGGGGCGGGGGGGGGCGCGGGCGGCCAGGCCGCTCCGGGAGGGGCGCCGGCGGCTCCTGGACGTGCCGCCCCGCGGCCGTCGAAGAAGAGCAAGCGGCACAGACATGATAAAACAATGGTAAGTATAGACGATGGCGTGGGAGGAGGCACAGTGACACAAGCAATGGCAATGACACTTGCAGTTCACATCCTACGGGCACACGTAGAAGAATCAAGATCGTAGCTCCGGTCGGATTCATCGCATCCGCGTTGGAGCCTCTTGGAAGGCGCCTCTGGCGCCGCCCCTGCCGCGCTCTGCGCGCCAAGGAGGGGGGCCCAGCGCCGATCCACGCAATTCGCGCGGACCTCCGCATTTGTTCTTCTACGTGTACACGCAAGCTGCCTATTGCTTGTGCCATTGCCACTGCTCATGCCGTTGTGCATCCTCCTATGCCATTGTCTGCGTCACTGCGGCCGTCTGCTCTCCTGTGTCTCGGCTGCTCGCGCCAGTGGACGCGTCTTCCAACAGGCAAGCGCGCCAGCGAGGTCGCGCGCCCTCCTCCAGGGTGCCCTCGTGCCCTCGCCTCCGCGTCCCGCCCCCTGCGACTTCCGCGGGCCTCGCCCCAGGTCAGGGTGGGCCCCCCTGCGTCCCTTCTTTGGGGGGTCCTGGGTCGCCCGCCGCCCAGGAGTCAGGAGGGAAAGACACACACAGACACAATCAATCGTCGATTCCCTAAAAAAGATGGGAAAATATGGGAAGTGGGCGGGAAGACCAAGAACCCAGAAAATATGGGAAAATATGGGGAATCGTTTTATTTGTGTGTATCTATTTGTGTGTCCTGGGGCCCCTTCATTCTTGCGGGGTCCTGGGTCGCCCGCCGCCCAAGAGGGAAGAAGCCCGCCGCCGGCCTCCGAGGGCCCCCGGGGGTCCTTGCTGCCGTCGGCGCGCACTGGCAGGTCGGCCCTGCGGAAGCAGGGGTGCTCCCGGGTCCCGTCCGTCCCTTCTCGTGTCCCCTGCGCGCTCGGGCTAGATGACTAAGGGGGGGGGGGATATCATGGCGTGGGTGGGCCATGGCAGTTCCCCTGACTTCACGGCGCTTCTTCTTGTTTCATTATGTCCCTGGCCCCCCCGCTGGGCCGCGCACATGCCGCTGGTCATGATTTGCACCCCCCCTCTTGGACACCCCCCTCTTGGCCGCTCCCGACTATAGGGGTGTCCGTCCCTGTGCCCTGTGGCTGTTGTGGGGGGCCATGTTCTGCCGTCGGAGGAGGGTCTCGCGTCCTGCCGCGCGTCCTCATCGGGTGCGCTCCGACTGTACGCACGTCTTCCCTCGGCGTCACCCCAACACACTGATACCATGTGCGCGTCCCCCCCCCCCCCCCCCCAGGGACGACGCGCGCACCGAGAAATCTTGCTGCATGTGCGTCGTGGCGGGCGCTCTCTGGCCACGCCGCTCGGGAAAGGATACACATGCAAGCTGGGTCTACTGCACGTTCGGGTCGGGCGCGCGCCTCCCAAGGAGGCCATCCGGCATACTCTGTGCGCCCCATTCTTCCCCTGCGTGCCGTTTGTGCCTGTGCCGCTGCCTGCTCTCCTGCGTGGCCCTTCGCCGATACACCGCACTCACTTCTATACCCCTGGGTGGGTGTATGTGCGGCCGTTTTTTCGCGGGCATGTGCGTGCATGTGCACAGCATGTGCCAGGCATGTGCCCGGCCTGTGCGGGCGCTTTTGTATGAATGTCCTACTGTGCGCACGTGCCCAGGCATATGCGGGGTTATGTGCTTTGGGTTTTGTTGCATTCAGTGTAACGCGCATGCCCGCGCATGCCGCCGCGCATTGCCGCACATGCCCGCACATGCCCGCGCAGGCAGAACTTGTGCGAACATCGCAGATCGGTCAATGGCACATACACGCACATGCGCAACACGTGCGGAAATCGCAGATCAGTCCGGTCTAGGGTTAAGTCGGGCCTGTCCCTCTACAGGGGGAATGTTGAGACAAATAGTTGCAAAATGGTCTGGGAACTATTTCTTGAGACTTGTTTGACCCTTTTGGGGGGCCTACTTGTATTTGGCCCATGTCTTTCCGCTGCCTACCCCTACCCCCCACGATTTCTGGGAAGGAGGGGGGGGGTCGCTTCGCTCGGGAGCTCCCGAGCGAAGTGAGCCCCACCCTCGCCCTCAGAAATCGTGGGGGGGGTAGGGGTAGGATTCGCACGTGGCCCCCTGCCCGAGGAGCGAGCGGCGCATCGCCGAGAGCTGAGTTGTCCTCAAAAAAGCGCGGGGGGGCGTTACTATTATTATTATTGTTGATAGTATTATTGTTACTATTATTATTACTACTAATATTATTATTGTCGTTATTAAAATATTATTATTGTTATTATTATTGTTGTTATTAGTATTATTTTTTATTGTTATTATTAGTCTCATTATTCTTGTTATTATTATTATTATTATTTATTTGTTCCGTTTTCCACTTTTGGGGCTGCGACCAAGAAGAACGGAAACAAAAAGGTGGTAGCCCAAAGCGAATAGAAAACGTCGCGCTCGAGGTAAAAACGAGACGGAAACGGAGTGCCAACGCGGGGGACGAAGTTGCCCAAATTCTTCTGCTCTCGGCCGGGAGCAGGAGAACCCCGACTTCTGCGTTTCTTGATAAGCGTGGGGGGTGTACCCCCCGACGGGGGTCGACCTCGCCGCGTCGTCGCGCCGCGACAAGGGGGTCGGAGCGCCTTCGGCGCGCGGTGGCTGCCCGCGACGGGGATCGGTGTGGGGCTGTCGGCGGTGGGTGACGCCCCCCCGACGCTGATGAAGAAACTCGGAGTAACCCTAATGACACGACGAAGAAGTGGCCTTGCTGGCTATGGGTACGGGTGGGTGTTGTCGGACCGCGGGGGAGGCTCGCCTGCGAGCGGGGAACCTCATCCGACAACACGCCCCCATTGCCCCCTTCCGTCCCCCCCTGTGGGTATGGGTGTGTGTTGTTCGCTCGTCAAGCCTTGCGCGTTTAGCCGGCTCGTCTCCGTCGGTTCCTGGAAGTGTTTTGGCATCGGGATGCTCTCCAGCCTTAGTTGCCTCGATGCGCGTGCTTTGAAACGCAACACGTCCCGTGTCCAAGACGTCTGTGTCCATACGTTGCGTGTTGGCTCCACGTATTGGACCACGTTCTGGCGAATGCATCGCGTCGGACCTACAGTCGGCCTGGGTTAGCAGGTCGACCCTGCCAGCTCAAGGGTACCCTCGTGTCCTGTGCCTCGCGACACGTGCCTTCTTACATTCCTGTGGCGATGTGGCCTTCGGAAGGGTCTTGTGTCCTCTCGCGTGTCCTCTCCAATGAAGGCCGACTGTACGTCTTCAGGCTACGTCTTTCAGGAGGGGGAAAAACACACAGACACAATTAGTCATCGATTCTCAGGAAAATATGGAAAAATATGGGAAGTGGTGGGGAAGACAAAACACCAGAAAGTATTGGAAAGCATGGGGAATCCTGTGATCTGTGTCTATGTATTTGTGTGTCCCAGGGCCCCTTCAGTCTTGAGCCCCGTGCCACAGCGATGCGTGGTGCGTGCTGCTGTGCTCCGCAGCGGCTGCCGCCGAGGAGACGGGCCGCCGGGGGCCCGAGCCACAGGACCCGAAGGCCCCCAAGCCTGTCCGCGTACCCAGGCCCCTCGTCTGCCTCAAGCAGCCTCGTCTCGGCATCGTTGAACCAATCCCCAGCCCCATCCCCATCCCCATCCCCCTCGAGACCCCCACCAAATTGCCACCCCAGCTGGGGTTCAACACCCCTCGGAGCCCGAAGGGGGACGACCCACATCCCCACCGGGGGGGGGGGGGGGTAAATCGGCCAGGGGGGCCCAGGCCACGCCGCTGGGGGCGGGGATCGGCTACACGATACTCATCGTCTTCCTCTTTCCCTCGCTGTCGCCGTCCGGCGCCTTCCATCGTCGTCGTCGTCGTCGTCGTCGTCGTCGTCGTCGTCGTCGTCGTCGTGGTCGTCGTCGTCGTCGTCGTCGTCGTCGTCGTCGTCGTCGTGGTCGTCGTCGGTGGTCCTCCTCGTCCGCCTCCCGCTCCTCCTGCTCGTCCTCCCTCCCCGGGGGCCGGCCGTGCCCTTCGGCGCCTCCCCGGACCTGCGTCTCCGTGCGGCAAGTCGGGCCTGTCCCCCTACAGGGCAAAATTCGAAAATAGGCAAAAAATAGTATGGGGATTTTTTTTTGATTATGTTTCGACCATGTCTGGAGCATGTTTGGAGTATTTTTGAGTTTTCGTCGAAAATCCCCCTGTATGGGGGACACGCCCGACTGAAGTCTAGGCTCTGCTCTTCCTCCCCTCGTTGCCGTCGCCAGCGTCCTCCTGCTCCACGCCCCCTCTGGGGGAGCGAGCGAGAAGGCTGCGAGGGCGTTGCCGTCGTACATCTTCTGGTTCACCCTCACCGCGGCACAGGGGGGCTGAGGCGGGGATGACCTGGGGAAGGTTTGGGGGAAGATGGCCTGGGAAGGATGAGGTGCAGGAGGATGAGGCGGAGGACGAAGTTGATGCAGCGGATATTGAGAACGAGGAGAGGGACGAGGCCGAGTAAGAGGAAGCCCTCTGCGCAACGCGGTCATAAGTCCGACGTCGAGCTGTCGATCGCAGTGCGCGCTCGAAATCAGTCCGGTGCACGAGCAGTTATGCGTGGAGGTGGGGGCAGACATGGGGGCCCCCCGTTGAGTCGCGCCCAAGGCAGCCGGCTATGCCGCGGGTTGAAAACTCACCGAGCGCATTCCACTACTCGCAGAGCGCCTACTCGCAAACGTCCGAACCAAAAACACGTGTCTGCTTCGATGTACTTGATCGCAGATCCCCCGCGGCGGATCCAGGCCATTTGCGAGTAGCTACAATGCGAGTAGTGGAGCGCGCTCGTCTAAAAACGGAAGGGCTCCCATTAATCAAGGGAGGAAAAAAGACCCAGACCGGACAATTGGCGTTTACTAAACGGCCCTGGGCGTTTACTAAACAGCCTTGCCCTCTTTGATTCCCTTCTCTGGGCGCGTTTACTAAACGGCCTCGCTTGTCGGGGTGGTCATCCTTGGGGGGGATGTTTTGCCCCCTAATGGGGGCCCCCATTAATTCGCGCCCAAGACAGCAGGCTATGCCGCGGGTGAAAAAGGGAAGGGCCCAAGGTGCTCCTGAACCTGCCCTGGCTGGCCCGGGCCCTCGTCGGGCTGCTCGCGCCCCTCTTCCCCGGCGCCGTGCGGGACAAGATCAAGTTCGCCCGGACGCCCATGGACTACATGGAGGACGGGTGGAGTCCAGAGAATGGGCATGTTTTCCACCACCACCACTACAAGTAGGAGGGGGAAGGAGGTGGAGGATGAGGAGGAAGAAAAGGAGGAGGAGGACCCCTCCCCCTCCTCTTATGGTGGTGGTGGAAAACAAATGTGGAGAAGGGAGGGGCGGTAG